TAATGTTTCTCACAAAAATCTGTCTGTGGATTTTCTAGATAAATGAAGGAATCAAACTGGAAAAGATAAAATAAGATAAGATCAAACTAAGGGATACACGAAAAGTATAGATTTAAGATGATAGTTATTAAGGTGTAAGAACAAAATATATGCGAGAAAATGTAAATTTGAACTAAACCAACTTTTACTTTGCTAAGTTCCTTGTCACGTTTTTATTTGCTAAGTCAGTAATCATTTTCCCCTGATCAATAAAATGTGTGGACGTAGGGTGCTAATTTAGCAACGAAACAGCCAATTTTTGACCTATATAGTCATCAGGGACATAAGTCGAACGAACCATTGAGGTGCGGTCATTTATTTCCTTTCGCTGAAAAGGGCACAGTTTGAGGTCGGGTCGGATTTAATGTTCCGTATGACCGGGATAACAAGTTCATTGTAATATAAACTCTATTCTGTGTAGTTTAAAGTCTAAATTGTCTCAGGTATCGTGATGATGGTCTTAAGCGTCGTACTCTCTAAAGTGTCGCGGTCAGTGACATGGTCGACTTGGCTGTTGTAAGGACGACTGCGGTGCTTTGACCTCATATCGGTCAGATTATCAACTTTATACAAATTAATTGCTTTCTAACAGCGTTATATACTCTATGTGGATTAGGATAGTGATGTCACTCTTTCATATAAAAATTTCTGAACATTTTTACCGATAATCTTATTCACATGCAGATAATCTAACGGTGAAATTCCACTCCCATAATAGTGGTATATACATATCGATAAAATTGGAGTGTCTCTGTTTCTTTATTTATTTAGGATTAAAGTCAATACTTAGTAATAAATTGGATCTATCTTGTGCAGAACCATGGCCTGTTTTGTGTTACCAATAGCGAAGCACCAATAATCCTCAATTACGCAGCTTATTGTCTTGAATTGTACGATATGTAAATTGTGAAGAGTTGTTATTTAATTATAGTTTTATGTTAGTAACAGTCGTCTACGATTATGAAAAAAACTTTATTAGTAGCCTATGTATTCTTCTAGACTATGTTCTACATCTGTGCCAAATTTCATCAAGATCCATGTAGCCGTTTTGGAGATATCATCTAACCAATATACATCTAAACTTTCGCATTTATAAAATTAGTAAAAAATAAGATATGGCTTGAGACTTCGTTCACGTTATTCAAATTTAGTAAACGATGCGTTATGCAAACATCAATGCATACATAAACCTTCACATTTGTTTTAAAACATTAGTTTTAGACATTACTAGCTGTCGCCCGCGACTCCGTCCGCGCGGGATTAAAAATAGATGCTGGCCGATTCTCAGACCTACTCAATATGCTCACAAAATTTTATGAGAATCTGTCAAGCCGTTTCGGAAGAGTATGGGAACGAAAATTGTGACATGAGAATTTTATATATATAATAAGATTAATTAGAATGCTTTCGCGCGAATGACGTGCTTTCGTTACAAAGTCCAGTGTTAAAATGAATAGTGAGGGGGCACAAATGTCGACATTTTAGTTAGGCTCGTGCTGAGTCAATACACTGCCACATTTTCGGATTATCTTTCTAACATTAGTAAGATTCAATTGTTAGGAAGATAAACCTCATAATGGACACTTATAAGTTGTATAAGCGAAATTTACGAAAACAAAGATGTATATCCTTTATTTTATAACATATGGTTTAGAATAGAAATAAACAGATTCAATTTGACCTTGACTATGAATACAGCTTCTAATTTATCATTGTTACCTATGTTTATACCTTGTTTATTGTGTCATAACATAAATTAAATATTATTTATAAATATATCAAGTATTGTATAAGTATCCCGATAATTGTACGGAAATTATTGATTGTAATTTTGAAATAAATAATGGTAATAAATAATAAAAATAAATATATATCCGTATTGTTATCGTTTTGATAACAAAACATATTGATTGTTATAATACCGTTTCAAATTATGATAAACTATTTTTAATTTCCGGTTACTAATAATTGACAGTAGTAGAGCCCGCTTTAACATCTTCGCACGAATTGGCCCGGTTCGCCCGGTGAAATACCACGACCACACAGAAGACAGGCGTGAAGTGGAAGCAATTCCGCGATTCGTCTGATGAGTGTGCGTCTCGGAGGCGTAATTTAGTCTTCTTTCCCTTCCCACCTTTTTTCTTATAAGGAAATGATGGGAAGTGGAAGTGGACTTTCGGGATGCGAGGATGCATGGAAAGGGAATATATTTTCTTTCTGTGCATCCTCTCCTCCGTTGATTAAACTTAGGCAACGCATATGCAACTGCGTATGTCTATGGGCAACGGCCACTTCGGTATATCAGCGATTTCAGGTGGCCGCTCGCTCGTTTGCCACCTTTTGATATAAAAAAAAATCGAGAGATACATAATATATCAGTGCTGACAAACTTTTGGATAATAAAAGATTAAATTGAAAATGGCGCGCTACAAAGTTCGAGTAACAGACAATATTAGGGAGAGGGGGTAAGTGTCGATTCGAGTCTAGTGCTGTGTCGCATTGGTACGGTACCGGTTTTCTTTATATTAGTACATTATTTTATTTAAATTACATATACGCAGAAATAATTTTAACATTTTACTTATAATACGTATTCACACAATTGTACACAATGTTCAAGTAATTATTGATTTAAAATACTGCAAGCAAAAACGGAAAATAAATGAATTCTTTAACAATTTAGTATTTTCTTATTTGTGTCGTTGTTTCTCAAGAAATACAGTTATCATAGTCGTTGGTATCCATATAAAACAATTTAAAAGCCATCACGGCAGTATTATGGTTCCCGTTGTAAGAACGCCTCTGGACCGTATAATTCGCGTGGCTACGTTTATCTACGCTACTGCTATCGTACCAGTTTCGCTTTTCCCGCATGCTTTTTTGTAATTTCAATGACCTGGTTTACACAACACTATAGGTTTGTTTTTAAAAATAAAAAAATGTTGACCGAAAAATATTTTTTTCATTGGTATCATCGTCTCTAAGAATATTATTTGTATCCATTGAATTTGGCGACAGCCAAATGATCGAACCAACAACATCACTATCGATTACTTACTTTACTTTACGATTACTTTGTCGTTTATTGGTATAAAAATATTTAAAGAATTAAATATGTTGGGTTTTTCCCGCTGGGCCGACCACTCAATAGTCCCATGGACCCAGGGGGAAAGAGAAATCTCATTTGCTCGATCGATCGTAGGTCGACGGGTCCACCGATAAACATCCAATTTGTTTAGAATTGTCTAGCCCCACTAATCCTCATCGTTACTATGACAATGTAGGACCAAAACAAATGCTGATAGGACATGTTAGGTACTTACGGTAACCGGGGTAACCGTGAATTTTAACTAAAAACAATTATTTTTCTGTTTTTTTTTTCTAAAAGACATGATGGAAGTTTTGTAATAAAGGTACTGCAGACGTATTTATATCATCCTTCTCACAGCTGATTGTTACTTCCTATTATGTAATAGTTTTTATTCATGTTTTCTTCTCGTGTTTTTATACCATTTATATGTAACACAGATCCGCAGCAGTTCGTGTTTCAATTTTATTGTAGACCATTTACCTTTACGTGACAATATTCCGCTTCCGAGCATGTTTTTTGTTACTCGTTTTTTATCTTAAATCTTGCTTTCTCTTTGAAATCAAGCTTTGAATTCCTACTTTTTGCGAACGGGTTACTAAAGCAAATTGAAATATACAAAGCAATAGACAAGACAATCTTAAGATTTAAAAACCAAAGATTAAATCTGGTACATAGATTGCATAGTACTGAGTAATTTTCTATCTCACTAATATTATAAATGCGAATATTCGGATGGATATGTATAGATGTTTGTTTGAAGATATCTCCGGAATAGCTCAACGGATTTTGATGAAATTTGATGCGAATGCAGAACATAGTCTGGAAGAACGCATAGGACTAATTAAGTTTTTTTTTTAAATTACACACGGGCAGAGTCGCGGGCGACACCTATTATTTTTATCAAGTTTTATGTTACAGTGTTTTTAAATATTTATATAGATTTGAAATTTACGGTAAATTACAGTGTCAAGGATGAGTTTATACAGGACGTAAACACTACAATTAGACCGTGACGAAAACTTTTTATTACATATTTTGGCTTTTATCTTCATACCAGCCAGTTATTTTACGCTAACAGACAGCGTCTCTGGCCCTGTTTCCGCTTCCGTTAGCTCAACAACCATAACGCACTATAATGCCACAACATTACGCAACCACGCGAGACGCACGCCTCTCATGAAAGTGAAGCCAGTAACGCGATGTTACCTGATGTAATTGTCCCGAATTACGACTTTTATAAAAACTATAAACAACGTGTTGAGGTTTATTATTTAGCTTGTAGCCGCACATGATTTTAATAATAAACATGCCAACTTTCTTGTATGTGTAAATTTTTTTCTTGTAAAAAATTAATAAAAAAAAACATTCAGACGAATTGAGAACCTCCTCCTTTTTGAAATCTGTTAAGAAAAAGTATTAACACTCTTGTCCTAAACTGATTGACATACAAATAGGTATATTTTATATTTTGGCTTGGCTTCTATGGCAATTTTTTTTCTTAATTCATTAAACGTCAACACCTTTACAGCCATATACATTGTCACGTTGAATGAATGTTATGCATATGTTTAACCATGTATGAGTTACGGAAACATGTCATACCATTCCTGATGTAATATTCATGTCTGTCATATTTATCTTTATCACGCCATAAAAGGCAACGATCAAGTCATCCAGCCAGAATTTATAACTGGATTGCGTATTAAGCGTAACAGAAGAAGGGATATAAAGAAACAAGAAACTAAGCCATCAAACGAAATTAATAACAAATTATTTGCCATTCTCGATTGTCGCCACAAAGGTCCTGTGAATGCTCAAGATCATGGTGGTTAATTTACTATTTGTCTACATACATGTCGTATATTTTCAGGTCACAATGACGCTGGAACAGCAGCTGGTGTGGGTGCGTGAGGGCTCCGAGGGATTCGTGTTGGCGCGGCTACATGAACTCCTTGGTGAAGAGGCGGACGTCGTGCCTCTGGATAGCAAGCACGCGCGTCGCGTCGCCAGCTTTGATGATATACTGCCAGCCGGAGACCCTGACAAGGAGGTTGATGATAATTGTAAGTAACTATTGAGACCCTGGTCAGAATATAAATTTATGTATAGGCAAGACGTAAAGGCCAAGGCACTGCGAACGCTTTCCGTTGCCCAGACAGTTCGCAGCTATAAGCCACGATAAAGTTGAAATCTGTTAACTAATAATTTCTAGACTAAGCTAAGTTAAAATTCATCATTGTTTCAAATGTTTTAGCAATGAACTATAGTTCTTATTCTATTCATAAATACAGATAGTATTAATACTATGAAACCTTAGTTTTATTCTTTTGTAAAACTATGATTGCAATGGGGTCAAATGGCAGAACAAATTGTACTTATTGTTGTTATTCATTTGGTCACGCGAACCTAGTGCACCTATTGTGTATAGAAACCTACGTAGTTACGATTTCTTTTAAATCGTTTTGTATGTGCCTATATTGATAACTTACCGCCGACTAGAGATCGTATGTGAAAACCACACGGGTATCTTTTAAGGATTTATTATTAAATTTGACTGTGTGAAATCGATTGAAATTTTGCAAATGTAAACATTCAGACTGTCATTTCTGGGGTGAATAATTTTGTAAACATTTTCATTATATTTTTTAACAATAAACAATGGTATTATTTCAGGTGAACTTATGTTCCTGAACGAGGCTACATTGCTAAACAACATAATATGTCGCTACAAGAAGAAAAAGATTTACGTAAGTAAGGCATAGAGTAAATCAGTTGAATCATTTCATTACTTCGTCGATACTACGACGATTTTTTTCTTTTTTTAAATTTGCTGTAAAAAACAAACTTTAAATTATTTATTTATTCTATAGCAATACCCCTATTATGAAACTAGTTTTGACATTAATACAAGACTGAACAATCACTAGATACGTACAAATCGGTTCTCGGTAAAGTTCATTGAACTTAGAAACATTCATCGCATTTGATAACTATCACTTTGTTAATCTCGTAAATATTTGAACTATATAGTAAAAATGCTAAGCAATTCTTAGTACACGTCATTATAGAACAAGTTTTGATTAAATTTAATTAAAAATATGTTTTATAAAATGGTTCTACGGTTGACTATCACTGTCCTATGTCTCAAGGCGTGAGTCATGCGCCAGTCGGTCCAGCCTTGAGGACGCGCTTTGCTTTTCTATCGACTGTAACAACGTACACTTATTGTTACGTAATTACATAACAAATTCATATTTCTTTGTTACTTTTACTGGAATTACATGCATGAATAGGAAGCAGATGAATTCAATTAAAATATTCTAAGAATAATTTCCTTCAAACCATGGCCTTTTAGTTAAATTACGTAATTTTGTGCAAGTATGTCTATATATCTTACTAATATTATAAATGTGAATGTTAGGATGGATGGATGTTTGTTTGAAGGTATCTCCAGAAAGGCTTAACGAATCTCGGTCAAGGCATAGATGTAGAACACAGTCTGGAAGAACACATAGGCTACTAATTAAGTTTTTCTTTTACTCCGCGCGGATGGAGTCCCAGGCGGCAGGTAGTCTGTATGCCGAATTGCCACGGTATTAGGTCGATAATGTATAATTTGATGAATTGCATCCATTTATAATAAATACCATACGACATGAATGTTCGCATTATATTATGTTAAACTAAGTAAAATCCATTTTAATTCACCTCGTGAGATCCTAGAACAAAGCAATGTGAAACAATTAGTTTGTGTCCACACTAAGAATAGTGTTTTGTGAGAATTACACACAATAGATTGCGACTTTGCGATGTCCAGCCTTGGAACCTACAATGTCATTCAGTTTGATATCTGATAAGTGCTGAGAACTCTGTAGTTTATGCTTTAGAAATTAAATTAATAGTGTCAATTAACTTTCAATAAACTGCTTTTGCTCGCGACTCCGTCAGCACGGAATTAAAAAATACTTAATAAGTGGCCTATGTGTTCTTCCTGACTATGTTCTACATCTATACCAAACAGCGACATCTGGTGATACCTTCTAACAAACATCCATCATTCGCATTTATAATATTAGAAGGATCTAAGATAATAATTTTTCTTTGAAATATCAATTTGGCATATGTATCATTCTATATGTATCCACTGCATATTACTGGACTTTGAAAATACTTTATGTGCAATGTACGAGTGCTACTTATTTTCTTCTTCTAATAGCTCTCTAATACTGGTTGTCCGTCAGCTAGGCGAACCCAACCCTGTCCTGTGCCAATCGAAATTTTAAGACTTATAACTTTTCTAGTAGACCTCTACGTGTTACACGAGTTTATGCTTGTCTAGTATTAAAGGTCATGATAGTTAATTGGATCTGTGCACTCATGTAACTAATACAAATTAGGGTGTACTTATAAGGAGATTATACACAAGGTCTTATACAATACACCTGCTAACAAATTATATTAAGATTTTTTTTAACCTTTATTTAATATTCATAAATGTATGATAAGGATATAATGTGACAAATAGTCATGACTCAGAGGACAAGGTGATAGATAACGTTATTCGATTTTCCACGTATTATGTTTCACGTTTTCTGTCGTGCGATTCATATGTTTTTGACATGGCTAATATAATATCAATATATGTAAAGTTTAACATATTATGTTTCAAAACTTTGGTTGGTTAAAGGTGCGTTTTCATTACCCCGCGCCAGCCGCACCGCATGCACGTATAAAACGGATTTGCTTTGTCTTGATGCGACGCGGGCGGCGAGAATGATGGACGCAGCACTATGTTGCATCATACAAAATAAACTAACATCGGCGGGTGGTGCGTGCGTTGCGTATGTCGCGGGACAACGGACGCGTACCTTTAGGCTTTAAAAATATGGATAGCTAGCTAGGAGGAGGAAAATATGTTGCACTTATGTGGAAGTTATAAACAAGAAGAATAACATGATATGTTATATTACGAACTAGCAACATAAATTAAACTGTCATGTTATGTTGTTCGTGTTATTATTTTTTACAGACATACGTAGCGAATATTCTGTTAGCGGTGAACCCGTATGAAGACATTCCGGATCTGTACTCGTCGGCCACTATCAAGAAGTACCAGGGCCGTTCTTTAGGAGAACTGCCACCACACGTCTTTGCTATAGGTACAAATAATCAATGTTTAATTCCAAAGATACTATAGACAATCACAGACAAAGTCGAAGGTTACATGATGCTTTTCCATAAACAAATTTCACCGTGGCCTTACACTGAAGAGTACACTTTAAAAAACAGATTTAACAGTATTTTTCCACTGTCTTTCGGCAATGGAACCCTAAGCTAAGGTACTTAGACCACATTTTATATTAATATCAACTCTTTCCAGCGGACAAAGCGTTTCGTGATATGAAATCGTTCAAGCAGTCCCAGTCTATCATAGTGTCGGGGGAATCCGGCGCGGGGAAGACGGAGTCAACCAAGTACATACTTAAGTATCTCTGCGATCTATGGGCGAAAGGCGCAGGTCCTGTCGAGCAGAAGATATTAGACGGTCAGTAAATATATAGTAATAAAGGAGAGACTAGTCTCTATCCATTTAGTTTTAAAATTATCGTCATCATCAACCTGCCTATCCTATGAAGGGTCGGCACAGTATCTACTACTCCTTCATACATCTCTATCCACTCTGAATCCCCCCCCCTTACGCATGTCTTCTTTCACACAATCCATACATACTTTCTTTGGTCAAATTGATCTAATTTAAGACCTATTTGGGAAAGGAGGGAGAGGAACAAAAATGAAAACTTTTTGAAAACTACCATTTTGAAAATTGATGTACCATTTGTATTGAAATATGTGAATTTAAAATATAAGATTTATTTAAGTTATAACTCACTGTTAAATTTTATTGTAGACAAACATATATACTATTTAATAAAACTAATTAATTAAACTACCAAAATAATACTATAAACTATATACTAAAACTAAACCAAACTAAAAATAAAACTAAATAATATAAAAAATCGACCCCAAATCGCTGCGGTCGCACGGTAGGGTTCCCAAGAGGCTGGCGGCATTTCCCCGTTGGATGGCCAGGCTCAACCTTTGGCCGAAATGCGCGCCAGCCCTTGGATCCCCTAATTATATTTATATAATTATTCAAAGCAAACAGCTCTTTGACAATAAAATAATAATTTCCAGCAAACCCGATACTAGAAGCGTTCGGTAACGCGAAAACAACGAGAAACAACAACAGTTCCCGTTTTGGCAAATTCATGGAGGTTCACTTCAGTGCTAAATACCAAGTGGTGGGGGGCCACATATCTCATTATCTGCTAGAAAAGTCTAGAATATGCACACAGAGCGCAGAGGAGAGGAACTACCATGTCTTCTACTTGCTATGTGCTGGTGCGCCCCAGGAATTAAGAACTGCACTGAAGATCACCAAGCCTGATGATTATCAAGTAAGACTCCTTTCCATTAAATATTAGTTTAGCCGTTTTGTAGTTCACTGGTAGCAAACTTTTATACATCCATCCAAACCATAGTAATACATTGTTATGTTAATATTGCATAGTACTTGAAGAACGGCTGCACTCAGTACTTCACGAGCGCGGAGTCTGAGAGAAAGATCAGCGCGAGTCAGAAGAGCAAGCAGCAGATGGCCAAGGGTGGTCTGCGGGACCCCATACTGGATGACGTCGAGGACTTCCAGAGGTTGCATCAGGTAAATTGTCATAGAATACGGGCTTTGCCAACACAATGGAGCGAAAAAGACGAGAGGAAAACTTTTCTCCTATAAACAAATAGTGAAGTGTCCTTTGCCCATTGATATACGCAATTTCAGATGCGTTTCTTACCTTTAATCAACAGAAGATGGACACATAGAATGAGGATATTTTAAATTGAAACGCATCCTTCCTCCGGCCAAATCTATTTGACCCTCCCATTCTTTCCATTTACGAAAAGGGTAGGAAGAGGCAGAAGACCTGCATCCTCTGGCTAGACTCTGTTTTAAAAGTAGATAAGTTTGATAGAAATCAAAAATAATAACAACAACATAATCACGCTCGTAATCCAGAGGGATGGGCAGAGACCTTGGAGCTCTTAATACCGCTTCTCGAGATACAAATGAGAGTGTTATATTGCAGGCACTATCGCGCGTAGGTCTGACAGAAGAAGAAAAGCGTTCAGTATACTGTGTGGTAGCAGCAGTCCTGCACCTGGGTAACGTGGAGTTTGAGGAAGACGGCGGTGCGCGAGGCGGCTGCAGCGTGGCGCAGCACTCGGAGCCGGCGCTGGCTGCAGCAGCGCACCTGCTGGGTGTTGACGCCGCGGAGCTCCGCATGGCGCTAGTCTCGCGACTCATGCAGAGCTCCAGAGGTGGATTAAAAGGCACTGCTATCATGTAAGATTAGTTTTTGTTGAGGAGTGGACAACTTTATAGATTTATTAGAAAGAAGCTGTCGCCCGCGACTTCGATCGCGCGGAATTTAAAAAAAAAACTTAATCTATGTGTTCTGTCAGACTGTGTTCTACATCTATGCCTATTTTCAGCAAGATCTGTGCAGCCGTTCTGAAGATATCTTCAAACAAACAAACATCCATCCATCTAACCATGCACATTTATAATATTAGTAATTATAAATTAATATAAGGTATTATAAAGTCTATTGTGATGTGATTATATAGTTCTTTACGCGACACTAACGCCAGGCGCTTCGCCTACAAAATTTCAAGCAGAAATAAAATTACTTGAGATTCACGCTTTTGTGTGATCATGATATACATTCATAGTTGTTGCCTTTATCTTTATTATTACTACACTAAGATATCAACATTTAAAATATTAAATTTTTCATAATAACCGTTGAGTAAGGTCATCTGCAGAATGTACGACTAATAGGGCTGAAAAGTCCTTGAATTGCAGCCACGGATAAGTCGAGGTGGCGTAGGTTGGCCTAAGATGGGTCAATGTCCTGGTCAAGGTTACGGTGGCACAATACAATAGCTTGGTGATGATGATGATGATGTGCGGTGTCGGCAGGGTGCCGCTGAAACCGTACGAGGCGACGAACGCGCGCGACGCGCTGGCGAAGGCGGTGTACAGCCGACTGTTTGACTACATCGTGCACCGCATCAACACCAGCATACCCTTCCAGGCCTCCGCATACTACATCGGCGTCCTCGACATCGCCGGCTTCGGTCAGACAAACATAAATACATATCTTCTACTTTATGTAATACATATACAACATGGCCTATCTGTTCTACATCTCTCTCAAATTCCATCGAGATCCGTTTAGATGTTCTGGACATACATACAACAAACGTCTATTTATCCATCCATATATAAAACATTTATAAAATTAGTAAGATAACATTTTTCTGCCTGTATATTGTACAAAGACTAGGTATAACTACATCTCAAGATAACTTAACACATGCAATGCCACAACGATTTTTATGTGCTAAACTGAACTTGGATCGATTTGATGGCATTAAACGTGTTAATCCGTATTTTAACTGCGATACTGACTAAAGCCTTGTCATTAAATTGGATAGGTTGTTAGAGTACGCTAACGGTTTGACCATTGAATAATGTATGTAACCTCGTTGTCCAGAATACTTCCAGATGAACAGCTTCGAGCAGTTCTGCATCAACTACTGCAATGAAAAGCTGCAGCAGTTCTTCAACGAGCGCATCCTCAAGAATGAGCAGGATCTGTACAAGCGCGAGGGACTCAATGTGCCAGAGATAAGATTCGTGGACAACCAGGATTGTATAGGCGAGTTGTTCTTTTGATAAACGAGATTCTAATAGGTTCTCCCTTATGAAAATCTGATGTTTCTGCTCATCCATGTTCGACTATATATGTCAACATATAAATTTTAAAGGAAGAAGTCATTTGAGACAGTTTTTTTTACTGTAAATTTTCAGCATTGAAAACTCTCTCATACAAAACTTTGTAAAATTTTTAATTTTTCAAGTTTTTAAATTTTACACCAAAATATTCAATATTAATAGTCAATTTAAAACGACACGTACATAAGTTTGTATAATAATTCCACGTGTATTTTGTACAGATTTGATAGAGAGTAAGAACCACGGCATCTTCCACCTGTTGGACGAGGAGTCGAAGTTGCCCAAACCGGAGTTTGGTCACTTCACTCACTCCGTACACAAGCAGCTCGGCGGGAACGCGCCCAGGTACACTCAGAACACTTCGCGGTGTTACACTTACAGATTAATTGTCTTCTCCCTTGCAACCAGGCAACTCCGACCTTTCTTATAAAATAACCAGTAAGGTAGTACTGAGTTACGCATACGGTATGTTAGTAAAAATAAATTAGTCCTACCACTGACTCACTTTTTTATTATGAAACGTTCAAAAAATAGAATACCGCTAGATTCCCCGATAATACATATTATTAATGTGTAACTTTGTTATAATATGTGCAGTTGTTTTTAAGTTTACATTGAACGAACTGACAGACAAATCTTTTTGAATTATTTTGGGTAAATGAATGCTTGATAATTTTATATAGGGTGATTTATTTTCAGTTCACGTGTACAAGTGCCGCGTGCGTCCCGACTGAAGGCGCATCGCATTCTGAGAGATGACGAGGGATTCCTTTTAAGACATTTTGCTGGAGCTGTCTGCTATAACACGGTAATATTTACATTGTTTCTTATTATTCAATATAATTTCTAATAAATTAAATACCATATATACTAAGCTATGATCTCTATAAATCGTTTTGAAAAATAACAGCACTTTGTTCCGAATTAAACGAGCCTGTTGACTGACAGTTAATTCGCCAAAAATGATTCGCCAGTTAAAATCCAATATTACTTTTCACTTCCTAAAACTTAATTAGTTGTCTATACGTTCTTTCAGACGATGTTTTAAATCTATGCCAAATTTGAGCGAGAATGGATCAGCCTATATGCTAATCTTAATATACGCATATATAATATAAGTAGCATTACATCTTCTTCCTGACCTTATCCAGTTGTAATCCAGCGCTGGATTCAATCACTGGAATAATGTAAACCTTGTATGTGATTTGTTCACAGAATCAATTCATAGAGAAGAACAACGACGCTCTGCACGCGTCGCTTGAGTTCTTAGTGCAGGAGTCGAGCTGCTCCCTGGTGCAGCAGCTCTTCCTCACCAGTGATAACACCAATGCCAAGGGAAAGCTCAACTTCATCTCCGTCGGCGCTAAGTTCCAGGCGCAGCTGTCGCAGCTCATGGACAAACTGAAGGAAAACGTGTGTATTCACAAGTTTCACATTGGAAAATGCTATACTAGCGTTGGCCCGTGACTTCGTCTGCGCAGGATTTAAAAAAGTGTCAGAAGTTACTCATGTGTTACTCAAAATTATGTTCTATATCTGTGACAAACTTTAATAAGATGAGTTGAACTGTTGCAGAATTATCGTGTAAATATGTGAATTAAACATATCCCATATGTACCGTACACATGTCGTGGATCATAACCTATGTGTTCTTTCAGACTGTCTGCTACATCTATACCTCATTTCATAAATATCCATCCAAACATTCGCATTTATAATTGTAGTAAGAAGTACTCCATAGAAAGCGATACACTGTCCAAAGTATAATGTGACCTTGAAATCTTACAAGAATGACATTTTTATGTGATTAACGTATACAATTATATCAGGGTACAAACTTCGTGCGGTGCGTGAAGCCGAACAGCCGCATGCAAGGTCGCGCGGTGGAGGGCGCGCTGGTGCTGACGCAGCTCCAGTGCTCCGGCACCGCCTCCGTGCTGGCGCTCATGCAGCACGGCTACCCCTCGCGCGCGCACTGTCGCGACCTGCACGCCATGTACTCCGCACATCTGCCCCAGCAGCTACAGAAACTCTCCCCCAGGCTCTTCTGTGAGGTTTGTAAAAACTTTAACAATTATACTTCTACACTGACACTTGGACACTTGCGCACTGACACTTATTCTAAGTCGACACTTTGACTACACTTTTAGTATCCAGTTACGTAATCAAATTTACCGTTGTCCAGGCGATAGTGCACAGCTTCGGTCTATCGGACAAGGACTACAAGTTCGGCGTGACGCGGCTGTTCTTCAGGCCCGGCAAGTACTCGGAGTTCGACACCATCATGCGCTCCGACCCCGACAACCTGAAGGCTATCGTGGACTCCGTGCTCGCCTGGCTCGTCAAGTCTCGCTGGAGACGGTCCATATTCGCAGCACTTTCTGTTATTAAATGTAAATATTTATATTTTATATTTCTTGGCTGCGTATAATTGAAGAGAACAATATGTATATAATTCACTGTGAAGCTATCTTTTTTACTTATTTAGTTGCTGTAGCCTTTTTGTTCTTCCAGTCTGTTCATCTGTCTGTATGATAGATTTGTATACAATTTAAAACACTAATTTTCAGTGAAAAATAAAATCCTGTATCGTCGCGAATGTCTACTTCTCCTGCAAAAGACGATTCGTGGATACTTGGTGCGTCGTCAACACAGACCACGCTACAAGGGTATCGCCAAAATCAAAGCTATTGAAGACAGCCTCAAGAAAATGGAGTCCGTCACAGCACAACTCAACAAGGAGAAGGAGACCGCTAAGAAGAATATAGAAAATCTTAGAAACTCTATTAGAAATGCTTGCGCTTTGATTAAGGTAACGTTTGACTGAAAAGGTACACTTAAATTCTTAAATTAACACTTTAAATAACTTAACTTCTGTCTGTTTCTAGAGCAACGAGAAGATATCCCGCGCTGAGATAGACCAGTTGTATAGCAAGTTGAGTAAAGAGGCTGAAACACAGATGGCCGCGCTACAGAAGGCTATGACTGACCAGAAGAACAGGTAAACACTTTTCCACTCTAAGACTTGAGAACACTTTATTTGTTAATTTTTTCTTTACCAATTACTAACCGATATTTAGTTGATTAAAATCCTATTTTATTTTCGCGTTTCTATCTATACAAAAAAAACTTAAAAATTTATTGTATTGTTCACTTGTATATTTATAGAGAGGAACAAGAGAGGCTGCGTAAGATCGAAGCGGAGATGCGCGCCGCGGAAGAGGCCAAGATGAAAGAGCAAGAGAGAATCCAACAAGAAGAGGAACACCGCAGACTGTGAGTTATACCAAGAAGAATATTAATAGAAAATAAGTTAACACTTATACCAACAATTTGTTCATATCGGGCAACACAAAATATGCAAATGACTATGCAGATTGAAAATTAACCAAGGTCATAAAATAAAGATTAAAATGTAAATTAATGTGTGATTAAGCGTTTATCCGTGCTGGCGTAGGAACTAAAGCTCTCACTATTGTTAGGTGGTAAGAAATTCTTGTATCTATGATGCAGTAAAGCGGAGATGGAGTCTCGTCGCAAGGCGGAGGAGGCGGCGCGGCTGCAGCAGGAGCAGCGCGACCGCGCCGCAGCCGCGCAGCTGCAGCGACAGCTCGAGCAGGCCGCACAGGCTGACCTCGAGAATAGGGACAGGTTGGACACACTATACACATGTGTACACAATACACATTTTCACTTGTGTACTCAATACACCTTGTCACTTGTGTACACAATACACATTCTCACATGTGTACACTATACATATTAACACAGAACACGATACATATTAGATTTATCCATTACACATGCTAATCTGTACACATTAGAAGGACAAATCTATGTAACAATTTCACATAACATTCTCCAGGCTTGAACAGGAGAGACGAGATCACGAGATGGCGATGCGTCTCGCTGAAGAAACCAACGGACACGTTGAGGGATCTCCACCCCAGCTGAGAAGGTAAATCATTTTAACTCTATATGTCAATTTTATTATTATTTTTAATGAGAGGCTCGCAAATTTCTCACAAAATATTCAGTCATACTGTTATTATGCGATTTTCTTAATCTAGTACTTGTTGAATAAAGCAGATCTCTAAGAAATATTAAACAAAAGGAAACACTACTTTTTAGACTTAACCAAAAAGTGTGGTAAATGATGATTGTTTCGGTGGATGTTATGTGAATATATCTACATAGTGGATAGTTCGCAAGTACATAATGGTTAAGTAACGCACGCGTTCTTCCTGTACATAGCTTGCGTACGTGAGTAATGTTGTATGTTTGCCACAGTTTCCCATCAATGGACACACTGAACGGGGAGAATAAATTGAACAGGTACAAGCGAGACGGAATCTACATCGTTTTCTCTTTCGCACGCCGCCTTGCTCACCTCCTCTTTCAACTAACACCATTCAATACACTCGAATCTTAATAACAGAGTTCATGGGTTTTTGGTAATTTTCTCATTTTAAAGGTTTCTCTAATCCGAGTTTCCTGCTCGTAGAGCTGGTCTGTTGTGATCGGATAATGACTCTCGTTTATAGAGTTTTCTTATTTATCCAATTTTTGCTTATTCAGGTTCGACTGAGTATCGTTATTTGTTTAAAGTACAAATATAAAGTTTTTAAACTTTAAACCAACTTAGTGCCAACCAATATCGTGAAATATAAGTTAGAATTTTCATGATTACGTAAATATCTTTTTTTATTATTCTATCTCTCTCGCTCCCCCCCCCCCTCTCTCTCTCTCTCTCTCTTCAGTTGCCTAAAAAGACTGGCAAATCATTTATTAACTATGGTTCTCAAACAATAAGTTATTTACTTGAAATTTCTAAGAAAATGTTTAAATCTTTAAATTTTACCTAATAATTCAATCCGTTATGTTGAAAGAGGATTCTTGTATATAACAAACTAATTCCGCTAACTTTATTAGGCTTTTGCTTTATTTCTTCTGCACGTATTCGGTTTAAGTAGTTTGTAGTTAGATAAATGTACTAATTTATGTAATAACACAATTTTAGTTTTAGTATAAACTAATCGTGGTCTTCTGAAGCCAAAATCTCTGTTTAAAATATTGGTCTGCCTGTTTGGTCAAAGATAAAGGGTTGGTATTTTACGGTATTTTATGCGCAGGTTTTGGTCTCGGAAACCAACGGTAAATCTTGTATATGGTAAAAAACTGTAATCATTCAATTAAACATTTATTTAATGAACTTTTATAATACTGTTAAAGTTACTTAAAAAATTATTCATTATTTTTTACATTAGTACAAAAACATTATATTGTTGTCTCTGTTTCTTCAAATAAAATGAAAGGGATAAAAATATGTTTTTAAACTGTGGAAACTGATGTAAAAATGAAACTCATACAACGCTTTTAACACTATTGACATACAGTTTGTTGAACAATTTTACTATTTGCATGTATTATAATTGCACGAGCACAATACCGCACTGTTAACTGAAATGAAACTTTAACGGCCTACAATAAGATCTATATTAGATTGACGTGTGTCAGATCGGAGCGCGTGCGCATGCAGCAGGCGATGGCGGGCAAGCAGAAGTACGATCTGTCCAAATGGAAGTACTCGGAGCTGCGGGACACTATCAACACATCCTGCGATATCGAGCTGCTCGAGGTAATTGCACGTGGCGCTCTGTGATTGGCTGCCGTCTCACGTGATATTTGCTACAATTGTGTAATTATACATTTTAGGAATTACACATTTACACACTTTGATTAGCAGAAAATTTGTCAATTATGTGTTTTAGTTTGTTTTTACTCATATTTAACTATTAGCTGTCGCCCGCGATTTCGTCCGTGCCGAATTAAAAAAAGACTATTGGTCTCAGCGGTTTATATAGCCTAAAGCCTTCCTCTATAAATGGACTATCCAACAAAAAAGGATTTTTCAAATCGAACCAGTAGTTCCTGAGATTAGCGCGTTTAAACAAACACACTTTCGGTTTATAATATTAGTATGGATTTAATTGGAAAGAATCAATTTAATACTATAGTTATGCTTGTCTGGACGTATAAAGTCTTTACATTTATGTTTTAAATATGTATTTGTTATCATAATGTGTCGTGTAGGCGTGCCGTCATGAGTTCCACCGACGTCTGAAGGTGTACCACGCGTGGAAGGCGAAGAACGCGCGCAAGACCACCATGCATGAGCAGGAGCGCGCGCCGCAATCCATCATGGAGGCCGGTCAGTATACTAGAGTATATATGCTATCCCTTTCTAATGTTATAATACTGATAGAGACAGACAAATAAGTTGCAATATATGGTCAAAATAACTTCCATACTAATGACAAAATTAATCATATCAACATCTATACTACTGACATTATTTTTATCAAATCAAGTTCTATTTCAGTGCTAATGTTTGTTAATATACCTATAGTATCCCTACAACTAACTAACGAAATTAATTTCGATTCTGTTGTCATGGATAGTCAATGTAAGCACTGTATTATTGACATATTTGTGTACAGCGAAAGCGCCCCGTGTGAGCGGTCGCGAGGTGCTGGGCGCGCGGCACCGCTACTTCCGCATACCGTTCGTGCGTCCCGGCGGCGGAGAGCGGCGCGGCTGGTGGTACGCGCACTTCGACGGCCGCTACGTCGCCCGACAGATGGAGCTGCATCCTGACAAGACGCCCGTGCTGCTGCAGGCCGGTACGTCACACTACACGACTACACACTGACCACCTTGACATCGGTCACCTACCAATTTTAATGTGGATGACGATACGGTGGCGAATGTCACAAATATTCATGCTAGGCCCACTGTTCTAAGCTAAGGGCGAACGTATACTGAGGTTGTGTACAAAACGCGCAGCTGATTTTAGTGGCAAGACACCTAACGTTTTATTGTTTACCTAAGACAACTGGATAAAATTTAACTTTATCACTTAACATGGTTTGTCTTTTACAGGCATTGACGACATGCAGATGTGCGAGCTGAGCCTGGAGGAGACAGGGCTGACGCGCAAACGCGGCGCTGAGATCCTCGAGCACGAGTTCGAGCGCGAGTGGGCGCGCCACAACGGACCGCCATACCGCGCACTTGACAGGTCACCACGCCCACTACACCTCCCCCTACACCTTCCGCCTTACACCTCCTCATCACTGTTATCTAAGATTGTCACACTGTAGTCCTTGTTACCATAATGTTGTCTTACTCTAGATGTCGTTGCCATAGACAACCGTAATTTTATCTTCTTTACCATATTGTGCATTGAAGTGTATTTCAAAATGGTCAAACTATTTGGGAACCATCGATTCTTAATTAAATATTTTAATACTTCTAACATTGGGAGACATTTAAGAAGCTCATATAAGTATATTCTCATCAAATTTGTTATTTTCTTACAGAATCCAGCAGTCTTAGCAGAAATGAATGAGGAGTTCAATACAAGTTTCTAACTCTATTTATTAAATTTAAGATATATTTTAAATAAGTTAGTGCTTTCAAATGTGCCTTCAGAGGTCCGTATATTGTAAGTAAGTTCATAGCAAGTGAGCTATAATTTTAGTCTGAAAAAAATTAACTATATCTTTTGGATATAACTAAATTGTATAATTTTTAATTTTTCTTTTCTAGATTTGAAATTATTTGCGTCTGGATTTTATTATACACAATTAAAAGAGAAATTATATACAAAAGATGAATATATATTTACATTTTACACATATCGCATATTTATTAAAAAAAAAAAGTCGCATAAAAACTATGTATTTTAGAAGCTTCATTAATGAATTAAATTGAAATACACTTTAAATTATTTTTATGAAATTAATTTTTCCAAACTATGCGATGACTTAGAAAATATTAAACGAAATTAAAAAAAAAACTTAATTATATTTTTACTATAGATTTATATGCAATATAGGATTAAAATGAATTCCTTTTTTTTTGTAAAATGGAACTGTGATGTATCGAAAGGATAGATAAATTTATTTAAAAAAAAGCATTCCTATATTTATAGACTGAAAAAAAAAACATTGTCTTAGTTTTTTCAATAATTTCAGTATTCCATTTAAAGCAGTATTTACTTCACAGTATTCCACACATTCCTTTTTAAATGAATTTTGAATGTCATATTTAGATGTAGATTATATTAAAGTACAATGTACAGTAAGAGAGTGCCTTTGTAATGCCTTATTACATGACCATTGTTTGTTATGCTTTACCAAATAAATATAAGATTTAATCAATACTTTGATGTTTTATTTTTTTACTACCAGTCGCCACGAGTTCGTCCATGCGGAATAAAAAAAACTTAATTAGTAGCCTATGCGTTCTTCCAGATTAACTATCTTTGCTAAATCTTTGCAAGATCCATACAACCTTCAAACAAACATCCATCCATCCATGAAAACATTCGCATTTATAATATTAGTAGGATAGTTCCCAGTCCTAAGGCAGTATTAATATAAGTAGTGGTATTTACAGACAACAGAGTTTTATTGAAAAATTCGAAAGATATACGTTGATCACCTCATAATTTAGGTCAAAAAAGTACTACCTTTGTCTATACTTTTAATTTGTATAAAATTGCAAATTGAGCGTAAATTTCAATTTGCCACAACTATCGCTATTTTAAAAATCACGCCAGTTTCAAGCTTTTATTTTTAAACTACATTGTCGTTGTTTGTCTATTTGTCTATGCTTATCAAAATGCTCACTAGCTCACCGTGAGTTTCCACTGCCGAAACATATTGCTATCTCTGTTTTTTCAAAGGACATGATAAAGACGATAACTACTTGACATCGGCGGTGAACCTCTCGGTCAACACGCGTTGTCAAGCAAAACGAAAGCGATTCATATTTGAGGTTGTCAAACTAAAAGCCAAATAAAGATATCAAAATAAACAAACCGAGAACAAGGGTATAGAGATTATTTGATTGTAATTTAAGCATTAGCAGCGATAAACTATAAATATAGTCTTCTTGAAGCATAAAATGTGATTATTTTAGGATTTTTGTGGTTATGATGTGAAGTTTTTACTAAGTTTAGTCTTATCATATTGAAGTCATACCGATAATAGAATAAACATGGAATCTTTTGTGCGTTATCGAAACATTTTATTATTATTTGTATTTGTAAGCGGCGTGAATTCGTTGCCATATGACGGTAAGTTTTTAATTTTGTCAAGAACTAATAAAACTATAAAAACCTAATAAAACAACCATAAAATCATGACCATAACAGAATAAGCTAGAGAAAGTCTATATCAGTTAGTATAATGGATAGTATGCTGATTATTATGTGTTTCATGCTACATACCTCAGTTATATTTCCTCATTATTCAACAAACTTTTCTTACTTTTTACTTTTATAGTGCACTGGCTGGGAGGTCCTACTATAATTGATAGGGAGATCAAACCAAATAAAGAAACAATTGACATCTACTGTTATAGTGGATGTAATAAGAATTTATTTGTGTTGTGGCAGACAGTCAAGGTAAGTAACCATGTATTAATTACAAAAAAAAACAAAGTTATATAAATGTAACCTATATTGCTTACTTATAGAGCATTCTATAAGTAAGCAATATAGTCATATAAGTAGTGTAACTATGAAATAATGTCAAGCTAGTTATAATGTACAATTATTTGCTTTTTTCTTGCAGTTTAATATAAAAATAAAAAATGATGAATTCAACCAGTACCTCGGAGATAATCCAGAGGATGTCTATAAAGACTATACAGAGAACAGCTATGGCTGGGCCGTTGTCAATCCATTTCAGAAGAAATCATACAAAAGTATCTCAATTGACCTATTTACACCAACATGTATGGCCATAGACACAAAACATCGCCATAGTATAGAGTTGCATATACAGAGTGAGTTTATCTAAAAAAATCTTACATGGTTTTTGTTTACATCAAAAATGCTTATATTGTTATTATACATTGTTTTACAGGAGTTGACATGTGGAGAGTACTTCTAATGGCCCTTGGTCTAGTGTTAATATTCTCCTCAAAAGCATTAAGTGGAAATCCAGTATTCTTCTATGTCTGTGGAGTTCTGGTCGGAGTGTCAGCTTCCTTTTTGCTCCTGGTCTATTATTTTAGCAAGCTACTACCTAGGGTGAGATATTCTATGAATTATTTGTTTAATATTTAAAAATTAACAGTTATAGGAGAGGTGTGTATTAATGGTGTTTTTGGGATTACTTCTCATGCTACTACAATTTTTGTCCAGTTCATTGCACATAGTACATTTAACCAACCTTTCCCAAATAAAAAGATCTGAGACACAATTTACATGACTAAAATCATAAAAAAAATAATAGTCCACTGAACTGCAGGGACTTAAGGAATCAGTGTTTCGGACGCTTATTTGCCTCCGATTACTATTAAAAAAAACCTTTGTAGGATCTTGTTTATATTAAGTTCATTAATGGAGATATTCTGGCTAATATTGAACTTTTTATTACAGAAAACGCTAACATATGGATTACTGATTGGTGGTTGGACAGTAGGAGTGTACTTACTCCGTCAGGCCTGGGAGAATGTACAGAGTATCCTGATGTCGTACCAAGTGTATATGTTCTGGTACACATTGGTTGTGACATTCGTTAGTTTTGTAGTCTGCTATAGAATCGGTCCGCCAAAGAACCAGAGGAGCAAAAATCTTGTCATGTGGACATTACAGGTAAGGGGTATATTTGGTTTCAAATATCTTGGCGGCTCAAGGACATGTGCCCATCGCAGTGCCCTCTCCCCTCGTCTTGCTACTCCTTATATTATGTTCTGCGTAGTGAGTCGCGTGAAATCAAGAGCCGCCAAGATCATTAAAAACAGTAACTCATAACAGAATTATATGTTGAATCTTTCAAAGTTTTAATTGTTTTTTGTCTATGATAAATGATAAATTCTGCTTTATTGTGTAGGTGATAGGGGCTATAATGATATTCTTCAGCAGTCAGTACCGCGAGGCGTCGACCACGGTGTGCGTTTTGGCACTCTGCATTAAATATTTCCCGCAGACCTGGCTCTACAGGGTACAGGCATATTGGTGAGTACTGAGTACACTATCAGTGCTGTTTTCAGCACTAACACCCTGGGCTGGACTTTAACGGTTTATTTTACCTTTGAGGTGGGGGATAACTGTTTAGTACCCTGGATGGTCGTTTTTGTGTGACATATTGTTTAAAACATAAATCTAATGGAACCCACCTTAACCATTTTAGTAGCATTGATCGAGAACCATTATTTTTAACTGCAGTTGAATCTAGGATTCTTTAATCCATTGTGTGTGTGTGTCAGGCGACGTAAGTTCCCTCCTCAGCGACGTCTGCTGACCAGCGAGGAGTATTACGAGCAGGGCGCGCGCGAGACGAAGCGTGCGCTTGACAGCCTTCGCCAGTACTGCAGCAGTCCTGACTGCAAGCAGTGGAACGTCATTATGAAGATTAGTGATGCCAAAAGGTTACTATTGTCCTCCCCTCTCCCCCCACTTACATACAAACACACACGCACGCGTACATACGCATTTATAAACGCACACATCCGCACGCTGTGCGTACGCTGCTACCAATATTTGACAATAATTATAGCCGCTTTAAAAAAATTATAACATTTTTACTAATATTATAACTGCGAAAGTTTGGATGGATGTTTGTTACTACTTACAGGTGAATAGATCTTGCTGTAATTTGGCATAGATGTATAACATAGTCTGAAAGTACATATAGACTACGAAATATTTTTTTAATCCGTGCGGAGTTGCGGTTTAAAACTAGTAGTGTATATCGGGAGTGAGTGAAATTTTCTGTTGTTATTAAATTTAGTATTATTATTAAACTACATATGTTTTAGAGGATTCATTTTAATTTCCATTTTGAATTTTTAATGCAACAGGTTCGCAAGTTTTGTGGAAGGTAACTCCCACTTAAGTGATGATGAAGTGATGGACTACGAGTCGTACGCGTTCTCATTGGAGCGGGACAAGCCTGTCGCTAACTCCACTCGCGCGTACGATATCTCTGATGACGACTCTTCTACTGATGATGAAGACTATCTTTGATGAAATGAAGATCGTGGTGATGTAAAGTGTGATCAAAATGTATAAAGGATGTCGAGGAGAGTTGTGTGAGATATTTGTTACTATCTCGATATTAAGAAGTGTATTCAGGGGTCAGTAATATTTGGTTTCAGAGTGATATTTTTAGTAATTTCTATGAATTTATTATGTCACAAAGAGGCATTTTGATAAGTAACGTTTTAGGTTCTAGTTTATTTTATCGTTTAGTTAAAAAATTTCAAGGACTTTTGGAGATCTTATAAAAAAAGATCTTTTATTAGGTGCGCAACTAAGTTCTCGCTTTTTTTTTTCGATAAAAATATAACTTTATTATTAAAAAATGGTCACAAATGAATCATTCAAAGTTTTGCCCATCGCTAGACACAACTTTTTCCCATCTTTCTGGTAGAGCTCGAATACCTTGACGCCAGAAGTGTCCTTATAATTTTTCTTACAATTTGTTCAATGGTTAAAAATGTTGCTGACCTCTGCTGCATAGTTTCTACCTAAAACGAATCTTTTTTTTTTGTTTGAAAGCTTATGTGTTCTTAGTTTTATTTCTTTAGATTTTTAACATATTTAAGGATCATAACTTTTTTATTTCCTTAATTATTTTCATTTTTTTTAATAGAATTTTTCGTAAAATTTATCTCATGTACTAAAGTCAATTATTTCTTATCTGTATAAAGTATTAAAATGTTCTATTTTTCTTACAAATTTGTTCATTACTTTGTATATGTGAAAAAGAATCTTTGAGATGTGGTTGTGCATTATTTTTAGAATATCGTAAAAAAATTACTTCCGACTTTTGCTGACTGCCAATCATATTTTGTTATAATCTGTAATATATATTCTGTATCTTATCGATTTATTATATATAAAATTATTTAATATGCTAAATATTGATGTTTTTTTGTAAAATAAATATAAGATGTTATTAATCATTAAATTATTCAAACTTTCGTGAGATATACTAAACTGATATATAAACACGGCTAAATACTCACGTATATACGTCCGGTGGCGGCACCGACTAGTTTCGAGCCCATCGGGGGCCCTTCATCAAGATGAGTGGTACTGGTATTATTTCGCGGACGCGGCCCTCAGCTCACGACGTCGTGAAACTCGAAACTAGTCGGTGCCGCCACCGGACGTATATACGTGAGTGTTTAGCCGTGTTTATATATTAGTTACTAATCATTTAATATTAAAAACATAATTTTTAATTACTTATATGCTTGCTTACTTGAAGTGTACTTAGTTTTTAGTATTTTTGATTTAATAAAGATTTTTTTTAAATTAAATTTGAATACACATTTGTAAAAGTACTGAACAAGAAATGAAACAATATAAATGTGAGTCATAATTTATTTTAGTATATTAAAATAATTATCCTTATGTTTAAAATTAATTATTAATTCAACACTAAAATAGTCAAATAAGCATCTGGTGATTTGACTTTTATACTTTTTTATAACGTGTGTGATGTTTTATTAGTATTGTTAATGAATAAAAATATTTTTTCATACAAAATATTTTTTTTATTAGTTTTAATGTCTATATAAAAACTCTTTAGTTTTTTCTTTTTTTTTGTATATTAGTAAAATATTACTTATAACTAAAATTGACCGTAGTTTTAGGAGTACAGTCTTAACCCAATTGGGTTAGACAGAGAAAGCAACACCATCCACTTTTTTATTGAACTTGAATATTCAAATAAGTCAAATGGTGAGCCAATTACTTATTTTTTTTTATACTGAAACAGAAAAAAAGCTAAAAAGCAAGCTAGTTTCAAACATTATAGGTAATGACTAAACTCATTTGTGTTGTCTGTCTCGATTATTCTTAGACTTTTACATATATTTTACAAATAATTATACTGATTGAGATTAAACAATTAACAAGCAATAATATTCTATAAAAATATCTTAGCATTAGACTTCATCATCATGACATCATCAGCACACCCACCGAGGGGCTTGGAACCTACCTAGTTAGGGATGATTAGGCCATAGTCAATCACACTGGTCCAGTGACAAAGAATTTTTCTAATAATTTTCTCAAACATCAAATATAAACAAACTCTTTTGTGTTTTAAATGCTTAGTAATTTCATTAGATCTTGTAAAACATTAACATAAATTAATAATTTAATACATTACATTTAATTAGGCAGTTATGTAACCATGGGTTTCCACTGCTGTAAAATTCATACAGATATATAATTTTCAATGTATTAGCAGGTGTAGAGTTTGCATAAATGTACTGTTGTTTGTTACATGCCGGAGAGAGGGGGCGTCAGTTGATGTCAGACCTTTGGACCGGCACACACCGGTTTACACGTGGCGGGTAAACATGCCAAATATAACGCAACAAATGCTACAGCAGGGAAGCTCATTTGTAGTATGGCACTTCTATTTACACTAGGAGCGAGCACGACTGGCCTTCTTGCTCTTGTCCAGTGTTTGCGGCGGCGGTGGAGGCTTCGCAGACATGTGACGGCTGTACAGACTGAAAAAACCACAAATGTATGACATACTAGCCGTCGCCCACGACTCAGCGCAGCAAACAAAATGCCTATACCATGCCTAGAAGCATTAGCTATCTTCTCATCAAACATCTGTCAAAATAGATTGAGCTGTTCCCAGAATAAACGGCCTTTCAGACAGACAGAAAGTAAAAAATTCGTTTTAATAATGTTAGTCTATAAAGCTATACAAAAAATGATTAAATTTTAAAGGTACTCACACTCTATATGTCTCAGATCGTAGATAGTCGACAACATGTGAGGGTCCAAGCTTCAGCTGGTCTTCAATCGGCGGCACCCAGAAGTTGCCCTCCAATCTCAGCACAGACTTATTGCCAACTAGATCTAGGGAACCTGTATTAATTACAATATTTATTAGTTTTTCATCACAATCATTTCGGGCACTATAGCCATTGGTGGGCTCGAGTTTTTTCCACTCAATTTCTCCAAGTTGGTCTACTTTGGGTTTTTTGTTTCCAGCCTTTCATACCATATTAATAAGATTGTGTATGATATTAGCTTTCTTATAATAGTTTTGTATTATCATTGTTCTTGGTCCATCAGACATTAGTCACAGTACAAATAAAATTTCTACATTAAATTTTATGACTTATAAAGAGTTAATATACATTCAGTAAACAAAGTTTCGCATAGGAAAAAAGTAACAACTTAACATAAGAAATGAAGTTGACTAAAAACAAAGAATAAGCAGTCTTACCAATCTCCGGTGGAAGCACCACTAAACGGTTGCCTTGCAAATGCAACTCACGGAGACGAGACAGCTGGCTAAGCTCACGCGGTACCTCGATCAAGTCGTTCTCGCGCATCGAGAGCTGAAAATATAATAAATGTTTATATTTAAACACAGTCAGTCAGTCTAGGTTATTTACAATCTATGTTAATTTTTTTACAATTACTAAACTATATTAAGTTTTATGTACACAATCCAATATGCCGACTATGTTTATAGGTTATGGTAGTAGCCAACAAGACTATATTTTTTTTTAAATCACTTACTATTTGCAAATTCTTCAAATTGCCAATTTCAGGTGGCAAATATTCAAAGTCATTATCACCCAAATAAAGAGCCCTCAGACTTTCTGTAAAGTAAAAGAATTTAACCTTTAAATCATCATTATCAGCTCACTATATGTCCCCATCAAGGGGCCTCGGAGTCTACCCTAAGTTAGTGGTGATACGCCAATCAAACTTAAAATGTCCCTAATAAATTAAATAAAAAAATGGTAAATAACTCACCCATCATGAAGAAATTTCCAGGTAGAACTTTTTCATTTAAGTTATTATAAGTCAAATCAAGTATTTCAAGTACAGGGAATGCACCAAAACCTCTCGGCAATCCATACAGTCGGTTAAGTGATAAATTTAAAATACGGAGTTTGGGCAATGAAGACAAACTGACTGGTAGTTCCTCTATATGATTGTTTGCAAAGTTTAATATTTCCAAGTTCATAAGATTGGCAAGAGCAGCGGGTACTACTTGTATCTTGTTGTGACTTAATGAAAGCCTTGTTATGTTGGCTAATGTGACTGAAAACGTAAAACAATTTAGTTATATTTACTGTAGATCCAATCATATTTGCGCTTATGGAAGTATGAATGTGTGTGTTTCATTATCACCTATAGCTTTATTAATGGCTATGTACATTTTCCTCATTACATCAGAGCCACGCCTTAATAAAAATAAATTTTGTTAAACTACTTTTGTTTTAGCTTTACTACAGTTTAATAAAGCAGCAGGTAGAATACAAATGCTTATAATGAAGAGAAAATTTAAAAAAGTACACCATCTGGTAGAAGTCATGTAAACATTAGATCATGTTTATTTTCGTAATACTTTAAAATTAGTAAAGACTTCATAACATTTTATTTGGCATATAACTACAATTATTTCTATTTCCATTTGGTATTTTAAGTAATGCAGTTGTAGCATAAGAATAACTGAATATTCTAATAAGAAATCCAAAAAAAAAAACAAACAAAACTGCAGTTCAAGTTCCAAAACTTGTTTTCGTGTGAGTACCGTAAAAGGAAAAACGACTTACATAGTCCTGGTATTTCGTCGAGACTGGAAATTCCTTTATCTACTAAGTCTATCTCAGGATTATTTATTTCTTTCGCTTCTTCAATCACTTTTTTAGCTTTCGACATTTTGCCAGTATTGGGAATACAAGAAACTGGCGGATGGTGACTCATTGTGCTGTAGGCGCAAGCGCGAGAATTCGTGCAAGATTCAGTGTTTCGTCCAATCACAACTCAGTATTTTATTTCTTTTTATTACATTATTGGTTGTAAATTGTTAGCAAAATGGAGCCGCCAATCGCGATTTATTTGTTTTTATTTGACAAAAGTATAACTAGGCATTCAGCCATTTCACTTTCAAATTTTTTTTAAAAACTTCGTTTTCAAAAGTAAAATATAAAACGCTAAGATTTATCTCAATTGAATTAACATTTTCCTTTAAATTTCCAAATCTTTGAATCTGTCCAGAAAGAAAGTTTTTCAAAAATTTGTAATCCGTTTCATAAGTAATGAACAAAGAGGAAACTTGAGTATATCGGAACGTAATGCTGAAGAGACAACTGTCACTGTCTTTCTGACAGTCAATTGTGTCACCTGTCATTTCCTTATATGATAGTTTCGTTATCAATTTACTTTGAATTAACTTTTTAATTATTAGCCTGGATGGTTTACATGTTGACCTTTGTTTAATTACTTTGTACTTACTTCTTACGACATACAACGAGTGTATTAAGCGTTAACTCCTCTTATCTGCTAATCATGATTATGATATGAATTTTAGTGATTTGAGTTTACAGAATAGTTGTTGATATTTGTTACTATCCTAGTATTTACAAGGAAGACGGTGAGTAATTTTTTTATATTATTATCGCTGTTCGCGACTGAATAGGGGAAAGTTGAGTACCTAACTACTTACATAATGAATTTTCGAAAATTAAATTTGTGTTGGTCTTATGTTGTTTGGACTGTCTATATTAAAGCATATTTATTAAAACAACGTAATAATCAACTATCCTATGTTCAAAAAGCTTCAAAAATGTTGTAAGGAATCTAATATAAGTGTAATAAAATTACATTTAATTAACCAAAAGTTGTTATTTTATATTGTTGGTTCATATCACATACAAAGTTAGTACAATGGTCTCCTTTATTGTTGTTTTAACAACTCTGTAGTAAATAATAAAAAAAAAACAGTAATAACATTTCCGTCAGAAACAAAGAGTTGAACTTGAGATGACACATCTTGAAAATATTGCCTGCAGTGCAGTTTATCTTTTATCATTACTTTGTAAATAATATAACATTGTATTTATTTTATTGTAATATAAAACTATATTGCAATCAGGAAAATATATTCTTGAATAAATGTTATGTAATATATGAGATATTATTAAATTAACTTTTTTTGAGTAATATTTTTTGTGGGTATTTCAGTGTATTGGTAACTATAAAAAAAGGTATGAATTTACGTCATTTCCATTGTGTTCTCATGTATTCATAACCGCTTGACTAATAATGAAATAAAAGTTATCATTGTTTTTATTTTTTTGGATGGTTTTGAGCCAGCTATACACTTGCATTTTAAATTAACAGTCCAAAGTTAAAAGAGAAAATGAGTAGCTAGCTTTAGGTATTTAAGTTAGTTGGGTTTAGTTTTTAAAATATATATAGTAAATAATTATACTATTCATATGAAGGTAGCCATGAGTGAGCGTCCGCAGCCATTGAAGGCTATCAACCGTTTCTTCGAGGGCAAGGAACCATGGCAGGTTGCTACTATGACAGCAACATCCGTTCTTGCCATTGTCTGGGCACACAGTCTCTACAATGGCAGAGAGAGTAAGTTAGTGTTTTTATCTACAATATTACAAAGAGGAAAAGTAGTATATTAATATACATATTGTATGTGTATATATAACTCTATATATATATATAGAGTTTTTGAATGAATTAACAAACTATATTTGAATTGAAGTAACTCAAAAACTACTGGAATGATTCCAAAAAATCATTGCTACTTGATCCCGATCCTGCAGTAACATAGGCTAAGCTTAATTTTAATATTGCTTTAAAATGTTTCTGTTTTCAATATTAACTTAAATGGGTTATTTATCTTGCATCCATTTTAAAAATCAGTTTCAAAAGTTACTATTTCTAGTTCATATTTTTGCTTTCGCTGAATGCTGTAAAGTTGATTAATTAATTGATTTTCGATGCGTAAATATGCTTGCTTCACGTTCTCGAAAAATCTTATTTAGGCATTTGTAAATAGGAACTCATTTTAGTTCCTGTTTAGTATCTTGATAACACGTCTTGCACCATCAATTATTGTTCATTAGCCTTCAATACTTCGTACAGTATTGTGTAGTCTATTGAACATAGCCAGCTAGGTAAGAGGTGTTTAGAACTGTAAAAAGAATTTAATGGAATTTGGTGGCACAAAAAAAAAATTTTTGAAAATAGAATACAGTTTTGTTAAAATACAACTTTTATATCTGGATATATGAAACATTTTCCCTCTTACGATAGTTTTTTATTTCGTTCAATAACTCTGCAGGAAAATAAATATTAAGATTTCCTTATGCTGACTAAGTTAGTAAGAATAGCCGTTAAAAATAATTTATGTCTTTTATTAGGTGTTGCTACAAGGTTGAGAAAAGAGTTTTTCCGTTGGCTTCGTCAAGTGCCTATGGTGAGACGTAAAATTGAAGAAAAGATGGCGGAAATTAAGCAAGACTTCCAGAAGGATATTACCAAGCGATTGGCCGGAGTGACAATCAGACGGGAACTGCCGAGTACTGGTCTCTCAGCTGAACAGATTTCTGAGGAGATTAAGGATCATCTTGCACTGGGTATGTGTTTTTAAATTTATGGTAACAGGATCAAGTGATATTTCAGTGGATTGGTTTATGACAAAAAAAAAAAGGTTTTACACCAGTTTTGTTATCACGTTTATTAGATGGTAATTAGCGCCGAATGACAAAAAAAATGTAATGTAAAAAGTAGCCTATATGTTCTATTTTCTACGATCAATGCCAAATTTCAGCGAAATCCATGCAATCGTTCTGGAGATATCTTCTAACAAACATCCATACATCCATCCAAACATTCACATTTATAATATTAGTAAGATTTTCCTTAAATTAAAAATCATTATCTTTAAGACCATGGTAATAAGGATGACTTTAGTTTAAATTGTTATCCTTTCCGTACGAATTAAGGTGTTGATAATTTTATCAATGTTTACGCAATAGTTATAACATCCTGTAGATATCGTTGTGGCCTCAATGAAGACATAAACATTGTTAAGTCAAGGATAAGAAATTGTCTTATTTGATAGGAATCCTAATCTGTTTATTATCTTCCTATCTATTAAGGATTGAAACATATGAAAATCGTTTCCTGATGACAAGAGCTAAATACAGATACAAGGAAAAAAAAGTTTAAGTTGTGTATAATTTCCTATGAGTTATATGACTGTAGCGAGATCGTGAACGATATTTTTGTTAGAGAAATTATTTGTTAAAGATATGAGTGGGATAACATTCTTTTCATTGGTCTTTAAATGGAGTTCGAATATCAAAACGATATTTATTGGTATATACTAATATTAACACTTTCACTGCTACTTAAAATAGAAGTTGCATGGAAAGTTGATCGTAAGTTCTTCGTTGAATGGGCGATATTCATAGGAACGTATGATTGGCGTGGCGGGAGCGTATCTGGTGCTGTGTACCATCTGAGCGAAGAGATAGCTAAGGTTGCGTGTGACGCGTACGCCCTCACCGCATACACTAACCCTTTGCATGCCGACGTATTCCCCGGAGTTAACAAGATGGAGGCGGAAGTCGTCCGGATGGCGGTCAACCTTTTCCATGGCGATGATGAATGCTGTGGCACCGTGAGTATATAGATTCTAGAATGGAAAATTTTATAATTACAAAGTAAAATGAAGCATTTTTACCTTTGTGTAAAGGCCTATAAGTGGATATTACCTTGTTTGTGATACCACTTCTAGTGTAAACAATAATACGCGCGTCATTACATTGACTTGCATTTAACACAATTTAGAATGTTCACTATCTTTAGTACCTGCTAATTATAGCCTATCATTACACTTTACGATTGTTTGAAAATGTTCTTGTGAAATAAGAACATTGTGTTCTAAGTAGGTTACTTTACTACGAACAAGCAAGCTATGTCAAATTTAAATGACCGCTAAACGTTGACTTACCGTGGGTTACCGAGACCAAAATACCCATTTGAAACAACTATCTGTGTTTTACAAAACATAAAGACAGGGATGACGATATGTTTTATTTTAGTTTCAGAAACCAACTGTTAGACGTATAAGTTAGATGCTTTAACTATATCTATTTTCAAATATCTCAGCGGCTTTTAACATCATTGCGAGTCGTTGTGCAACACTATTAGATGTGTTGGTGTGTAGAGGGACGCGGGGGGAGGGCACTGCGCTTCACGCACATGACCTTGAGCCGCCAAGATATTTGAAAAGACTAATATATACAGAAGAAGACATACTGAAAAAGGATATATCCTTTCTCTCCATCACCTTTTAGATCTTTAAGGAGAAATGGACTAAAATTAGTCCTTCGATATCTTACTCGTATCTATTGTGAATCCTAATGACCTCTTGATATTGTCATTGACTGTAGCCCGCGACTCTGTCCGCGCGGATTAAAAAAAAAACTTAATTCGTAGCCGTTGTGTTTTACCATTTAACATCCACCCATTCACATTTATAATATTAGTAAGATTGAGTTTTTTAAACCAGGTGACAACGGGTGGTACGGAGTCAATAATAATGGCTTGTAAGGCATTCCGTGATTTGGCAGTAAACAAGGGTATCAGTAACCCTCAGATTGTGGTCCCATCTACGGTACATTCAGCATTTGACAAGGCGGCACAGTATCTCAATTTGTCCGTGGTGACAGTGCCCGTGTCTCCAGACACGTATACAGTTGATGTAGACGCGGTCAGGAATGCCATCGGTAGGAGGACATGTTTGGTAAGCATTAACTGTCGCATCAGACTTCGTCTGCGCGGAATTAAGATAGAATTTAATTACTAGCCTATGTATTCGTTCAGATTGTGTTCTATATTTGTGCCAAGTTGCAGCAAGATACATGCAGCCGTTCTGGAGATACTTTCTAACAAACATACAACTAAATATTCCCATTTATAATAATAAGAAGACTTATGTTTTTCAATTTGCTAAGGTTAAAGCTCTTGACACACATTGTAATAGATTCTACTTACTGTTAAATGAAAAAAATGATATGAACAACAGAACACAATTTCGCGTATGAGCATAGTATGCGCATTTCGTTGCAAAGCAAGTCGGCAGTTAACGTGTTAACGTGATTCAGATCGTAGGATCAGCTCCTAACTACCCGTACGGTACAATGGACGACATCGCGGCGTTGTCAGAGATAGCGCAGGAGTACGGAGTGCCGCTGCATGTAGACGCGTGTCTGGGAGGTTTCCTGGCTGCCTTCATGCCTGACGCGGGCTACGACGTGCCGCTGTTCGACTTCAGACTGCCAGGCGTAGCTAGCATATCTGCTGATACCCATAAGGTAATTTGCTAGGAATTTCTAGGAATTTACACAATAAGGCTATCTTAACCGATGGGCGCATTTACCTATATAAATGGACTAGTCGTCGCCTGTGACTCCGTCCGCGTGGATCCTTCTTAGATTTATTACATTTTAATTTATTAGACTATTTTATGTCTATGTATGAAGATCTATTCCAAATTGGACTGTCGAAGTCTGCATGTAATCGGTACGCTATCGTTTTCAGTACGGGTACGCTCCGAAGGGTACGTCGGTGGTGCTGTACCGAAAGCCGGAGTACCGGCATTGCCAGTACACCGTCACCACAGAGTGGCCCGGCGGTGTCTACGGCTCGCCCACTGTCAATGGTAACACCCACCACACCACATTCACCAAATTCACCACATTCACCAAATTCACCATTATCACCACGAATTTTATATTTTTTTCCTTTCCTTTGTGTACTTTCAGATAATGTTATACATACGCATACTACATATTATACTCTATATTTATGTCAAACTAGCTGTCGCCCGCGACTCCGTCCGCGTGGGATAAAAAAAGGTTCCTAAAGAGTTATTCCGGCAATTATTCGAATTTCCCTCACATTTTAAACCTTCCCTTAACCTCCACGAACATTTCAAGACCAAGATAAAATGAATCCGTTCAGCCGTTTTCGAGTTTTAGCGAACCTAACGAAATTGTTTTTATATATATATATATATATAGATTTCATTAAAATCCGTTCAATCGTTCTGAAGTTACCTTTAAACAAATATCCATACTTTCTTATTTATAATATTAGTAAGATTAATTGCTCTACTAACTCGGGAGAGTAAAAACTGTACGGTTTTATTTTTATATGTCTATCAATCCCATTGTTACCTCGTTTAACCTAAATTATTAAACCGATTTTGAACAATTATGTCATTTTATTCGTATTCTTCCTCTGAATGTTATAGACCAGAGTTTTTTTTTTAGTTTTTATTGACTTTAATAATGTATTGTGTCGCAGGCAGCCGTGCGGGCGGACTGATAGCGGCGTGCTGGGCCACTATGATGTACGTTGGCCGCGCGCGCTACGTGCAGATGGCTGATGAAATTATCACAACAGCCAGATATATAGAGAAAGAGTATGTCTGTCGCTTTGTTTGTTACTATTGCAGAAACATCTGAGTTAAGATATTCGTATCTTTCTTGTGTAAAGACACGATAATGTTTGCTTCTGTATCGTGTACAATCAGGGAATCTGATGGTGTTCCACTTTAAAAGCTAGTTTGAATTATTTGTGCATATTGAGACGACATAGAACAATATCCAATAGAACGCAATTTTTAAATATGTCTGTACATAAAAGGTATTTTATGACATATTTACAGACATATTTAAAAATCTCTGTCTGTATATAAGAAGTATTTGTAAGAAAAAGCAAAGTTTGTCTCTTTGGAAACAAGGCATTTTTTCTGTAAGTGGAACACAGCGGATTTCCGTGAGTGTACTTTGTAAAAGTAAATAAAAACTGATTTTATCATGAGATTATATAAATATATGCTGTGATTGCTGACGTGACAAAGAAGCGTGTTTACGCTTTATCATATTTGTATAGATAAATAATATTTTCTTATATTGTCAGGATACGTAAGATCGAGGGTTTATTCGTGTTTGGAAAGCCGGTGACCAGTGTGGTGGCGTTCGGCTCCAAACAGTTCGACATCTTCAAGTTCGCTGAACTCCTGCACAAGAAAGGATGGGCGCTAAACGCACTGCAGTTCCCCTCAGGGTCAGTACCATATATATCTATTTGGCATGTTGTCTGTGCGTTTGTGTGCGCTAATCTCTAATAAACCTTAGTAGATTTATATGGATTTTTTACTAATGTATTATGTTAAGTTTCACTTATCATTTAGTATATGTTTTATTTCGATCGGTACATAAAGGAAAAAGTTATATTAGTAAGAGTTCACAATCGGAGATTTAAATTACCAATGTAAGTTGACCTCGGAATTGTTAATTTGTGCATACATAATAGGGTTCAGCTTAATCTGGATATCTAGTGTTACTGGAAGACGGGGTCCACAACTATGTTCTTAATATGTTCAGGTATCAAGAGTTGTCACAGTATTATGTACCATAGTCATAGTATTATGTACCTTATATGTATGTGTTTAGGGTGCACATCTGCGTGACTCATGCGCACACACAGGCGGGCGTGGCGCAGCGCTTCGTGGAGGATGTGCGCGCTGTGGCAGCAGAATGCAGGAGCACTGCCGGCGGCGAACCAGTACAAGGAAAAGTAAGTTCTATTACATATGTATTAAAGGCTAAAATCCCCAGATATAAAGTTTGATAATTTTATAAGCTTTATCTATCTATATTAATAAATTTGGAGTGTCTGTATCTAATATTGAAAATAAAAAATAATTCGTGCACATGATGTATGGCTCCGAGCCCCTCGGTGGGGACGTATAGTGAGCGGATGATGATGATGATGATGATGTATTTGCGTAGTTGGTAACGAAAAAACATTTTTTAAATTTTTTTGTCGGTCCGTAAGGCCATGTTTGTTCCGGGTAATCTTCAGAACGACTTGACCGATTTTGACGAAACTTGGATTGGAAGATAGCTGATGAGTGCAGAAGTAACTTAGGCTATTTTATTTCGCATTAACGAAGTCGCGGGCTACTGCTTGTTAAAAATATTATTCTTCTCGCTAAAGACGTATCTTAATAATTATGGCCGAATAAAAGATGATTTTTTTCCAGATGGCGATCTACGGCGTTGCTCAAGAAATTTCTGACAGGAGCTTGGTATCTGATATCACGAAACACTTCATTGATTCAATGTACTATTTGCCCACATCTGAAGCCCAGTAGTATATAAGAAACAATTATTAATATATAAGTATTCAAAATTGTGCAATTTTTTTAGGTTATGTAACGCAACTACGGCTAAGACGGCTTCTATTCTTACTTGATTAAAGATTTTAAAGTTATATAAGTAATAGAAAAGAAATCGATATCGACGTTTAAAGTTATTTAAAGTAACAATTTATATGAATGTCATATTTAATTATTTATAGTGAATTTTACTGTTCAAGTACAATGGCAAAGAGTAAAGATAAATTTATCTTTTATCTAAAATCAATTACTCTTCATATTTTAAATTATAAGATAGCAAAATATTATTTGTGATATTTGTTACGTAATACAAAACAAGAAATAAAAGAAAATATGTTAATGGGGAGAAAAAGTAGCGCTAAATATACCACAGATATACAAAAAAATAATTTATTCCATATACAAAGTATGAAGTAGTCAAAATTTCAAAAATAAGTAATTTTTTTTAATAATAATGAGATAATTAACAAATTATTTATAACAAAAGAGGGAATATATTATTATTACTAAAATGACGTTTAAAATTTTTGACAGATGACAGCTCATTTTTGACGCCAGCGTCACCTGCTTACAGCTTTTAGTTATTCTCCCCATACTTTAATCCATGAAAAAAATATATTACTAATGTTAAATAGTGACATCTATGGAATTTATTAGAAAACAAAAAGTCTGCGAATTGAAAATAGATGGCGCTTTCTTTCAGATGTTCCAATGATACTACGAAACATATTGTCATCTCTTTTATTTTCTTTGAATAAAAGAGAGATGTCTATATGTTGATAGTTTTGATTTCTGCAGTAGTTTATTGCGTTAATTATTTGGATTAAGGGTTGTTGTAAAGTATATTCTATTATTTAATTTGGTTTTAAAATTGAATATTGATATTTTTTAAGTTATAAATAATTGATGATTGTATAACAAATGCCATAATCAAAATTAAGCACAATTTAATTATAAATTTTGTACATAATTGTTTATTTCATTCCGTACTTGCATTTATTTGGATCATTTCATTGTTTTAATCAACTTTATACCTTATGTTTACGACATAAAGTCTATTTTTTAATGTATTTTCAATATCAATTTCTTAAGCCGTATTGTTTAATCAAAGATAATTTAAGTTATTACTTGTATTTGATTAATATTGTATCATATGTTTAAATTCAATAAATAATTAAAATAAAACCACTTTTATTGACGAAGGCGTTTTTTATCCGATAAAATACATACCAATATTGAATTAAAACCGTCTTGGTTATACATATTTAAGGGTACATACTTTATTTTATAATTACGTTTACTTCCATAATGACCATTAGTCAAATCTCCGGCTCTCGAAAGGTTAAAACACGTATTAACTAAGTAGTGCCTACCTGAGTAACACAGTACGTGTTTACATACGAAAATTCAACAATGTAAACCCACTGTTATTTTGCTTTTTTTTAAATATCCATAGTAAATAAAACAGATTTTTAGAGTATTAATGTCTTTATGGTTTCTTGAAGTTCTGTCAATTATTCTCTGTTCAACTGACATGTGACAAAATATGAATTTTTATACAAGCGACGCCGGTTACTTATAATGTATATTAAAATTTAACACAACGTCGAAATAATGCGGTATTTACCGTTTTTATTTATTTGTACTTATTTATTAAAGCTGGTTTCGTGTAAAATAAATTATTGCGGTGCAACAATGTGCGCGGGAACTGATACACACACGTTTTGTCAATATTCTGTAAGTATAGACGATTTTAACAAAGTTAATTTGATTAGAAATCCGGAAAAAATGACTTAGATATCCACATCCCTTTTTAGCACACAAATCTTAGTATAACAATCAAGAAAAACGCGACAATACAACTTTATTGTGAATTTTGTTACTTTTAATAGGACAACCAAATTTGCTCTCTTGTCCTAGAGCATTTACATAAAATCTACCCTCAGAGTAAATTTTTAAACACATCGTCATTTAACCCTAAGTGAGATTATTGATAAGGATCTAGGAACGCGGCAGGTACAATACCAATCATCCCTTTAAAGCAGTCTTTCCCAAAGTGGGCGATAACGCCCCCTTGTGGTCTGCAGGTCTCAAGTTGCGGGTTATTGTAAAAGTTTCGTTTAGAATTCTCCGTTAATATACATATATAGGTTACAATAATTAATTAATTTAATTTAAAGTTATAGTGGTTTTTAAATATGTGAAAATATGGGGGCGCTAAAAAAATATTTATTCTCAAAGTGGGCAGTAGTCAAAATAAGTTTGGGAACTACTGCTTTAAAGCAACTAAGGGCACTAGATAAATTGATTTACCAAAGGTAAATGTGTCTGTGTCAGAAAGGTCCAGGGCCTTTGTGCACGGGTTTGATGCCAGCAAGCCTGAGCAAGGAGGAGAAGATGCGAATACTGACTCGGCTCAACCACCGGCGCAATGACGCTGCGCTCGGTCTGCTCGGAAACCTGCCAGCAGCAGGGGACATGCTCAACATGGTATTAACAATATTGTTTATGTCTCTGTAAAAGCCAGCTACGCGCTGCGTAATGGACATCAGCCCGTGTCCCTATACTCCCAGCTAAATGTAATATTGTGTAGGTACATAAATATGAAATATCAACTATGCTTATATTACTACGATGAAAATCAGAGTCTACTTCCCTCGGTTGCTTATTGGGTAACCGTGTGGCGTTCACTCATTGTCTACCTGATGGCACTTAGTCTTGTGTAATTAACAGAGGTGGGTGGAGGAGTTGGCGCGTGAGGCCCAAATGTGGGCCGACCAGTGTGCCGCGCCAAAATTCCCCGAAGATCACGACCTTTGTCGGGATCTGTGTGAGTCTTTTACAACTATTTATTTCGCTCCTTGAAGATTTATTACAAATTCCACCAAGGTTCCATTAAAACTATATTTCGAGAAGTACTTTAACGCAACATGAAACACCGTGAAAAGAACGTGGCAAGCGATAGCGTCCTTCTGTCTGACGTCGCTAAAATAGAATAGTAACCTCTATTTATAGATTCTTTTCGAATACTGGAAAAGGGAGAAGACTTAGCTTGGCCTCCGATTGGTTTAAATTGAAAATACTATTTACTAAAATTAACTTAAGTTAGTGTTATATAGACTCGTTGCCGGTGGGTCAGAATGTGGCGTCAGTGGTGGGCGAGGCGCCCGGCCTGCGCGTCGAATCTCTGGTAGACTTGTGGTACATGCAGGGCAGGCACTACAAGGCGAACGTTTCTTCATTCGAACCGTAAGTGATACAACATATTTATGTTATGCAAAAGGAACTTTAGCTACATCATTTACAAACTGTTTGTCCGTGTTTATTTCAGACCTTCACAAAACAGCAGTTACTACGGTGATTTTGCTCAAATGTTGTGGTCGAAGACATTCATGGTTGGCTGTGGTCGCAGCAGATTTATGGTAATTAAAAACATTTCACTGCTTAATTCGTGCGTAATATTCACCTACCACTTGCAGTGTTTCAGCTATTTCAAAGAGAATAAGAGAGATGACAATATATGTCAATAAAAGCGTAACGGCAGTTGAAAAGGCATAGTAACAAAAGAGTGTATTTTGCAGTCGATGTGGCAAGACCGGCCGCGCACAGTCGAGCGGCTGGTGTGCAACATGGCGCCGCGCGGGCCGCGCCCGCAGCAGCCGTTGTGGCAAGTCGCGCGCCCCGCTAGCCTGTGTCCACCACGGACCTCGCCAGCAACACATTACCCCGGACTCTGCTCAGTCAGTACGTATATATTGTAGCTATTTGAAGACGAACCAGGTGGAATTATGGTCGTTATGTAAATTTAAACCAGGATTTCAAAAAGACACACAATGTTCTCTGTAGCAAAAAATAATGATGTTAAGAAGAGTGCTCGCAACATCACATGTAGGTTAATGTATCTAATAAAAAGGCGAGAAACTAAGCAATTTGGTAGAATTAAAATTACAAATGAAGCCCAAATTTCAGATGATAGTCAGAAATTTGATAAGAAAGAATATAAAATGCCTATAGAAGATTCCGTTATAATAAGTACAGTATTGGAATTAGATAGAAATTCATCATTTGAAAATGTTGAAAACTTAGATGAAATCTATGTAGCAAAATTAGCAGCGATAATTATGGAAAAGTCAAATAACGATCAACAAGAAAGTGACCAAATTAACGTCACGGAAATCGTTAGCAAAATGGGAATTAAGTTTGAAGACTTTAATACATTAAATAAAAGGATTGCAAACGAGCGAAAGAAAATTAGAAGGTACATGAATAATTATAGTAAATCTAGAAGAAAATTAAGAACTGTTGGAAGACCTAAAGCATATTACTTGTATGAATTAAGTAAAGAAGAAGACGAAAAGAGAACGAAATGTAAGTTTACATATAGAGTTGAATATTGAAACATGAAACTTTTATTTAAACACAATATATGTTGCAGATACTGTAGATATAAATCCAGTCATAGAGAAAGAAACAAAAGACTCAGTAATGGAAGAAGTTACAAAAGAAAATGACGAACTATTTACAAATGAGACCGAATTATCGAGCAATAGCACAGAAGGTGTGTGTAATTAAAACCATATTACTAAACGGTTTAAAATGACAAGATGTTTACAATATTATACAATTTTCAGATGTAGAAATATTGAATTCATCGAGCGAAGTTAGTGTACAAATTGACGAAGCAGTTACAGAGATATTAATAAATTCAAGCAACCAGATAACAGAAGCAATATCTAATTCAAGTGTCGAAACTACAGAACTTTTTTTAACAAATTCAAGTAACATTGAAAACAATAGTTCAGAAATCAATGATGATTTAATTAAAGAATATTTATCAGACCGTAAGTGAATGTATACGACAAGCTCAAACTAAACAGAACAGTCACGGTTATCGAAAATGCTTCTACGGCGACTGATTACATATAATTAGATTTTTTGAGGGCCGCAAATATACTAAGCTACATTTACTGTGCGTTTCTTAGACCATTATCTTTATTTAAAATGACAGGGATATGTTTAGAGATTTTTGGCTCAGGAACCCACAGTTAATTAGTTTCTTTAAACATGGAGTAGTTTAATAGCTTAAAAATTATTTAAATAAAGCAATTAGTAACTTATATTTTTATGGATTTTGTAGCTGAAACAGCGCGGGAGCTGCAAGAGACGATAATGCGTATGGAGCATACAATGGCCGGACAACCTTTAGAAGCCAACATCACGCCGATGTTTCTTCGACCGACAACACCTACTCCCATGAAAGTGTGTAGTCTTCTTCTTCTTCTTCTTCTTCTCAGCCATGAGACGCCCACTGCTGGGCACAGGCCTCCCCCAAAGATCGCCACGATGACCGGTCTTGTGCCACCCGCATCCAGGACGCTCCCGCAAACTTGACCAGGTCATCGGTCCATCTTGCGGGAGGCCTGCCCACGCTACGTTGACGTACGTGTGTGTATTATTGCATATGAAATACAAGAAATAGAATAGATATCTATACTTATTATTAAAATTAGAGTGTCTCTATGTAATTTGCCAAAAAATATTTCGTACACGTGATGTATAATCGTTGCTGATGACGAAAAAATGATTTTTAAAATTCTTGTCCGTCTGTATATCTTTCCTCAATGGTGTCTTTGTTCCGGGTAATCTCCGATTGGACCGATTTTGTACGGAATTGAACGGGAAGGTAGCTAATACACGCGGGAATTTAATAGGCTACTTTTAATTCTGCGCTGACGAAGTCGCCGACAACCGTCAGTGAATAAATAAAGACCCTAATTATTTGCAAAATGGGACAGGGTTTAAATTCACTAGAACAAAGCGAATGAAACGTTGATATTTGACATAACAATAAATTAATGTGGTAACTTTTATTTAAACTAATGTTAGGAAGGAAATCCGACACTGTGCCGGTGTACTGGCACAACATTAGCCTTACTAAAATGTCAACATCTATGTCCCTTCACTAATCATTCTGACACTTGACTTTGCAATGTAAGCGCGCCATTGGCACCAAAGAATTGTAATTAAAAAAATTGTAAAACTAGGTACGTCGAGAACTGAAGACTACGCAAAGCGAAGAATTCAAAAGGTTTAAGATGATGTTCCAGAAACGAACACAAACGCCTATACCTGGACCAAAAGATAAAGATGAAGAAACTGAAGGAGAACCGATTCTTATTGGTGAAAAACGTACAGTTCTGCAGACTCTTTTGAGTTATATTCCTAATATGAGATCTCTTGGTCTTATCTCCGGTTCGGAATACGGCGTCGCGTTTTCTATCAAACCGTCATATTTCTTAATATTTTGTCATTTCTTTTGTATTGTTTTATAATTTAGATTTATTTATTAAAGTTTATTTATTTGGAAATTATTAAACTTTTTATATTAAAAAATAAATATTTATTACTATTAACTTTAAGTAAGTGAAAAATATGTTACGATAAAATTTCCGACGATTCATTTGAAATTGATTTATTTTTAACATTTTAACAGTGGTAGAGCCCGCTTTAACATCTTCGCACGAATTGTCCCGGCTCGCCCGGTGAAATACCACGACCACACAGAAGACAGGCGTGAAGTGGAAGCTATTCCAAGTACAGTCTGATGAGTGTGCGTCCCGAAGGCATAATTTAGTCCTCTTTCCCTTCCCACCCTTTTTCTTATAAGGATATGATGGGAAGTGGAAGTGGACTTTCCGGATGAGAGGATGCATGGAAAGGGAATATATTTTCTTTCTATGCATCCTCTCCTCAGTCGATTAAAGGTAGGCACCGCATATGCAATTGCGTGTGTCTATGGGCAACGGTCACTTCGCTATTTCAGCGATTTTAGGTGGCCGCTCGCTCGTTTGCCACCTTATATAAAAATCGTATATGATGAAATAAACAAAGCAAGCAAAAAGCTTGTGATTAAAGAAGTGTGGTTGATTGATATTTTTATACAGCATTCTTCATTAACCACAAGAAACAGAGCAGTTTGCCCGCAACTTGATTTTAATATAAGTAGTGTTAAAATAACTTTTGCTTTAAAACGATGTTTAAAGGAATAGGAAAGTATATGAAGCTTAAAACAGCCCTAAGAATGAGTTATATTTATTACGCACGGGTTAGATATTTCACAATAATTAATCAATATTAATTAATCATAATTAATACTAATTAATAGTAATTCATGTTAACATTAATATTAATTTATAGTACACCCTCAAATGTGAAAACCCTCAAAGTATATTTACGATGTCTCCTACAATGTAAAAGTCAGTGACACAATTCTAGTTAAACCTTTGTCGTATACACAATAGTTCCGGTATAATTATGTTGAGGTGATTGAGGTGTTCAGATTTAGGGCAGTGTTAGTAACTAACGTCGGCGTCACTCCGGTCATCGGCCGTCGCGACCCGTTAACGTTGTCGAGTTATGTTATAGCAGTTGTAACCACAGTTATAACGTAATATCATTTTAAATAACTAGATAAGAACAACTTATAAGTTTTTGGTTTTGAAAAGGAATGGGAATGAACAAGTTGACTTTTTTAAATACCACAACCAACCACAAAAATTATATTACTACGTATATTTATTTTATAATAGGGTAGTTTCAAGATGGATTGATTTAACAAAAGTGAAGTTATCACATTTAAAAAATAAACGCCACATACATACTGTCATAAGAAATATGTCTGCAAAAAAAAAACAAAAACATTTTCCAAATAAATTGCAACTGGATCTAAAAAGTGTTAAAAATAACGGTTGTCAAATAACGTATAACTCGCGACGTTACATCCCCATTCGCTACGGTGTTGTTGGTCAGTGCGGTAAACACAGGCTTTGTGTGCGTTGCGAGCGCGTTAGTTGTTGTCCATTTGTGGCCTCGTATACAACCCTTTTAATTAAATCAACAATAAAGTAAGCTCAGTGTGTATACTGTTCATTTACTTTGGTGCATAGTACAGTTTTCAATTAGTCGGTGATTTATTCAACGGAAAATCGTAGAGGTTCGTAGATGTTCGTAGATTTTGCTACGACATCTTTCTCATCTCGCAAATGTCATTCGCGTTATGACGCTGTGTGGTATTTTTATTTCTGGTCACAGTTTTTTTTCAGTTTTAAGTAATTGTTATATTTGAATGTTTACGGGTTAAATCAAGTTAGATTAAGTTTCAAAACATAAATTAACTTGTATATAATTGCAAATAGGATTGTATATTAAATCCCCATTGTAACTGTGTCTATGTATTTGTAGCAATACACTTTTTTCGATTTCCTATGTGAAAAAAGAAACTTAAAACAAGCATTAAACTTTTTCTCTCAACATTACGTGTGACTCTGAGTAACACGTACAATTGTTGATTATATTTTATAATTATGAATACTTTAAATTGATAACAATATTTAAGTATAATATATTTATAAAAAACCAAATGCTTCGGATGTAAATTTTGAAAACGAATGTTATTATTGTTCTTGTTATTAGTAATTATAATTTACAATTTCACGTGATTTAGTCAATATCCATAGATCATATTTTCACATTGTTCGTAAGATAAGAGCACAGTCTAGTATCTTAATATAGTGAAATTCTACTGCCGAACGCATCAAATATACTTTTATCTCCATTTATAAAGCAACGGATAAGGTCGCCGTCTAAGTGCATCCGTTGCTTCGCCATTTCGGTGAATTCAACCTGCTTGTTCGTTTCCCACCTGATAATATAAAAAAAATACAGAGGTTTCAGTAGTGGAATACCACAAGTATTATTTACTAACGTTGAATACAAACAGTATCATTGTTGTCTAGTCTGGTGTTTGGTGTCAGATCGTCACTGGATACATGTCATAATGACGAACGACGCGGGCGGTGGATCAGAGAGCCGAGAGCCCCGGGGCTCCTGGCGAAGAGCTGATGACGTCAACATCGAGTTCGGCTTCGGAATGCCTCTCGGATCAATGTCAGCGCATCCTGCCTTCCATTCTGCTTGGGATATTGGATGGTGAGTTATAAGCTTATATGGTACACTGTACGGTTTAGACTGTATTTGTATTGACATATTACCATCTCACTTAAATTCTTTGAAGGGAAAGAGACAATTATATGTCAATGCAAGTGTAAAGCACATTAAGCAGATTATTTAAAATAGTATTTGCAATCCTAAACTAAAATATTAAAATACATTTTTATGTTAAGCAATCCTTTACAGAGAAGACTTTATTGGTATAAGATATAGATATTAAATAACATCTAAGAGTTTTTTTTATATTTTTTACTGTATACTAACAAAAATTTAAAAACCTTAATGCTTTTACAGTTTTCCATAATGTTTGAAAACTGTCGAAATGTTCAAAGCCAAATAATTATCAAATATCTTATTCTTTATTTTAAAAACTAAAGCTATTTAGTACTTTTTTAAAGTGTGCACGTTTCGGCATGAAACTAACGATTATAAACAACAAGAAACATTAAAATAAACATCAATAGATTTAACTATCGTCAAACATTTCATTAATTATAGTAAACTACAAAAGTTTAACTATAAATTTAAGTAACATGGGGATTGTAACAATCATAAGTGAATTACTTTGATGACAAATGTATTAGTATTCCCTATTGTATGGAACGTACTGCGAAAAACCTTTTATAAATTGGAATGCGTCAACGAACTGGGTAAGGTCAATAACCTTTAGTTTAATAACAAAACTAATAATTGTTTGATTACATTGAAATAAATATCAAACTGTAAAGTTTAATTTTACAAAGGTTTGTGTTTGATTTAATCGAGCGTTTTCAATACCGCAACTTTCTTACATTCTTCATACATTCTTTTAAACAACACATTGTTATCTGTGTGAAGTTCAGAAAGAACTGAAAGATGTCTTTGCCTGCGCAAAACAGACATCTGCGGACTGTTTTATTATTCACAACCAGACTGCGACAGACTGAGAAAAGCTAAAAAGCGTCATAATTTTGACATACTAGTATACCAAACCCATTACAAAATTTCCTTCTTGTATAATTATGTCCTATTATGTTGTGAAGTTAAGAAGCTGTCGTCCGTGACTCCGTCCGCGCAGAAAAACAATCCTTATTATGTGTCCTTCCAGACTATGTACTATGCCAAATTTCATCAAGATCCTTGCAGCTCTTCTGGAGATACCTTCAAACAAACATCCATCTATCCATACATTCCATTCTCACGTGCATTCACATACTCTTTTATCTATATTCATAATAAAATATCGGATATCCAGGACTAAGTCCTTGGATAGTCGATTTCCGTAGCACTAATAGTTGCTTTAGCAACGCTTACGGTTTTCTCATGTAATTCCATCTGATTGCTACACATCCGGTGTGCGTAGCGCGGTGTGGGTTACAGGCTACGGTGTTAAGTTACGTCCTCGTAGTGCGTTACGCAGTAGTAGCTGTTACTAAGGTTACCCTCACACTTGGACTGTATTTGAGATATATCTGACACATTAGAAGCTCTAATTTGACGCTAAGGAAGGAACCCACTGTAATACAAAAATGTCGTCATCTGTGTCATTACTTTTGACAAAACAGAGAGATTGAAATCTCAGAAACCCATTGTAATATGGATACAATATAGATAGTGGTAGAAATTCCTAATTAATGCTTATTACAGTGGGTTTCTGAGACTACAATCTTTGTTTAAAACATATCGTTACCTCAGTTTTGTCAAAAAAATTAGCAGTGATGATGACATCTTTTAAACAGAGATTTCGGTTTCAGAAATCAACGGTTAGTGGCTCAGTATGAGTTTACATTTAAGCAGTGTGATGTAGCCATTAAAATGGGTGCATTTTAACTGCAGTTTTGTTTGTTGTCCAAACTTAATTTTGTTTGTTTTCTTTTTTTTTACATTTAATGGTAATAATTTTATTAAATATTCAGTACGCAAATGTAAGTAAAAATGTCCTGTATAAACAATTTCCTTCAAATGTAGTATTTAGTTACTTATGTTTTTAACAGTCGTAGTCGTGGGTGACCTGATTTCTTTTGACCTTACAGATTTATATTTCGCGATAACCAACAGCAATTATTAGATGCGGTAATTTTTACTGAAACAGTGTAAGTTAGTGTATTGGTTTAATAAAGGAAAAATCATATATAAAGTCAAACGAACTTTCTTGTAATAAATAATATTTGAATTAAATAATGTATTTATCAAAAACTAGCTATCGCCCACAACTCAGTCTATTCAAAATAAAAACAAAGGTGGTGCCAGACTATGTTCACCATCTGTGCCAAATTTCACCGAGATTCATAGAGTCGTTCCGGAATTTCCAAACATCCATCCATCAAAACTTTCGTACTTAAAATACTCGTATTAGTATGATAGTAATATTAATAAGAGTTAGAAAAAAAATACTAGATTTTCTAAACTTTAACTGGTCTTAAGTTAAATAATTGCATACCAAGTAAGTAATAATAAAGTGCATGAAGTTGTATATCTAACTTTACATTAAACATCTATTATTTAATTAATTCTGTATTATTTATGGTAATTGAATTAAGCAGTAACACGCTCACTGTCTAGACGCGTGAATAACGAGCGACGTGCGTTGCGATGTGCAATGGAAATATTGATGTTTTATAATCTACTAGCACACGCCACCGATTCCGTCCGTGCGGAATTATAAAAAAAACTTAGTACGCTATGTATTCTTCCAGATTATGTTCTACATCTATGCCAAATTTCAGCAAGATGTATGCACCAATTCTGGAGATATTAGTAAGATATGGCAAAAGTAATACTTTAGAAGATTAGGAGAAATTACTACATATAAATGTTTTTAACATGTCGTCGAGTTGGAATAACTTCGTCTAACTTTGTGAGTTTTCTTCTCAAATTACTTATACCAGTCCTTGTTAAATATCTTCGAAAAAAAGATGGTTTCGAAGACTAAAATGTCTGTATAAAACATATTGTCATGACTGTCAGTATCTTTGACAAAACTAAGATAACAAAATATTATGAACGTGATTTTTGGTCTCAGGAACCCACATAAAACAATAACATATATATGTTTTCTTCTATAACTCAGATGTGAATACATCTATGTGTCATTCGTAGGCTTTGGCAATTTTTATCCGTCCGTCTTGACATACATGCGGCGACCTCAAAACAGCATCAAGGACCATTCACTCTGCCATTTCCCTTAAGATTTTTCGAAGTCAAAAGGTACTACGTATATTATTAATGTGAAGTTAACGCTTTTATCCTAAAGATTTTTTCTTAAGTTATAATTAGGTAAGATCGTAACATTCACATTCCAAATAATTAATTCCGCTTTATCATCAGAGTAAAACATTTATTAAGTCTGCCCTGATTAACCTAAAAAGGTGTTGTTCATTTGAAAGTTCAACTACAGAGAATCTTTTGTAAAGTTTGATTGATTTTTCTAACCAAAACAGTGGTTAACACTTATTCATGAATTCTATTATTTAATTCCAATATTTAGAGAAACATTTTGACCATCCTGTATTTATAATTTCTCTTTTAGTACGTATAATACCAGTACTGCAATGTTGACAATTATATTTTATGACGTAATTTCCCGGTCGCAATGTTATTGAAGGTCGAGCTGAGTCCTCGAGCGCGTGTGCGTAATATGGTTATCAGATTTAGGTCAGGGCTGCTGGCTGCTGCGTAGCAGGAGTTTGGTATCAAAACGCAGGGGATAAAAGTTAAATTTGACATTGAAAATGTCAAAAATAAAAATAAAAGTTAATCGTAAATAATCTGTGGCATTTACAAACCATTATAACTTGAGTTGTTAAAAGATAATTGTACAACTTTAAAAGCATCTGCAGTTCTTCTAATTTTGGATGAAATACATATTGCTATCTCTGTTTTTATCAAGTAAATGAAAGAGATGAGATGTTTTTTATAACAATAGGTTAGAGTTGCGTTTGTTATTTTGCGTTTGTAGCATTTTATGGTCACTGTAACATAAGGGATTATTATTTATAAGCTTGCGTAGGTGTAAATATTGCGGTATACAGAGATTTATTTATATAAATAGGTATTATGATTGTAAGCCAATAATTTAATTTAACGTCTCGAAGACGGCCAGCGCTGTTTTGTTATGTAATAACCAACATTGAAATAAATATAAGCCTTTATGTGTTATAGCTTGATTGACTATTAGAAATAAAGGCGGAGATAAAGAGTTGTATTATTTGTTCTCTTGTAAATTTTGGTATGCCTTGCCTCGGTAATTAATTCACCAAACAAGATTTTAATAGTGGTAGAGCCCGCTTTAACATCTTCGCACGAATTGGCTCAGCTCGCCCGGTGAAATGCCACGACCACACAGAAGACATGCGTCAAGTGGAAGCAATTCCGCGTTTCGTCTGATGAGAGTGCCTCCCTGAGGCCTAATTCAGTCTTCTTTACTTCCTACCCTTTTTCTTATAAGGAAAGGATGGGAAGTGGAAGTGAATTTTCCGGATGAGAGGATGCATGGAAATGTTTTCTTTCTGTGCATCCTTTTCTCCGTCGATTAAAGGTTGGCAACTCATATGCAATTGCGTATGTCTATGGGCAACGGTCACTTCGGTATTTCAGCGATTTCAGGTGGCCGCTCGCTCGTTTGCCACCTTATGATACAAAAAAATATTCTTTTAAAGAAATGTGTAGAAGTGTCGTAACTTTTCTAGTTATGTCGAAATCTACGCCCTTTTTATGTACTAGCTGATATAAATTTTGTATTATATAATAATATTCCAAATTTGTTTACTTGACCGTTAATCTTTGTCACTTGTCTTTGTTTCAAAGATAAAATTTAGTGTAATCATTGTTAACTCCACTTTATGAAGTCGTCAATTGATTTTGATCAAGGGTCTCGCGTTTGTTCCAATGGAGATAATAATGTTGTAGGCGGTCACGCGCTTCATGCCTGGACAATTGTACAACGTAATCTTGTTGAAGATCTTCCTAATTGCTTTATTTTGGTGCTGTCTGAAGGTCAATAAAAATTGAGATCTAAGAATATAAGAACTTATTTTTTTAAAGCAAACCAGTGCATGAACGTAGTTAGATAAGATGTGTAAAATTTATGTAGTTCAAGAAAGTTTGGGGGGATTGTGAGGAAGAGGATATGTGTAAGAAGGGAGTGAATTAAGATAGTGACGTCTGTGCAAACAGTGCCGAACCTCTTTTTTATTAGAGAAGGGGGCAAACAATCAGTGGGAACACCGAGGTGTTCATCGACGGCTACGGACATCAGCAATATTAGAGGAACCGCAGATGCGTTGGCGGCCGTTGAGATGGTGATACGCTCGCTTTTTTGGGGAAAAGAAGAAATTAGGCTAGTAAATGAATATTAAATTGAACTCTAATGATGTACTCTTTGTGTATTTCCTCTACAAAGTCACATCAAAACATCTATTAAAAATTAATGAACAAGGCTCATTGTCAGCAGACTAGAAGTTCAGTCAACAACCTTTGGCACAGTTTCGGCGCCACCTGTCACTATTCCCTTCCAGTCAATGGACATATGTAAAGTTCAATAACCCGCCTTGATACACTATCCTGCAATTACCCATCGATTTCCCATTGATAGGTCTACCTACTCTAGTTGTTGGATGTCCGGATAATAATATAGCTATAGAAATTATAGGAAGTGCAAATTTAAAATGGTCTGTGCAGATGTTCTCAGATTTTCTAGGCTAGTTATGAAGGGTTGTAAGTACACTTGTTACAATGTCTCACAACGTTATGTTCCTGTATTAACTTACATTTATAATTTGTGCGTTTTATCGTGAATTTACACTGTCAAAAAAAAGGTTACAAATATGTTTTTGTTAAAGTTTTTTAATAGTGAAAACCCACTGTCGATTTGATTTCCTTTGCGATAGTATCTAACTTCAAATGTCTCGACACTCATGCTGGTAAACAAGGACAAAGTACTTTTTTTATTAACGCCCCTTAAATATGAAACGAGGTCAATTGGTAAACTCGTTCAACGACACGAGAACACCCGAAACTATCGCAATGACCTTCCGATACCAACTTCCATTTGCGCCCGACCTTCTGATGTCATGACCTTTGGAAATAAAAACACGAACTATACAAAGGTGAAGTTCTACCACGCATCATATTCCAAAACGCAAATATAAAGTTGTCCGACACAGAGTTGTGTTTTCCGCGAATACGTCGCCATAGCAACCGATTCAAAACAGACCTGTCATTCAGTAGCCAAATTTCCCCGACTGTCCGGTTGAAAGAACGTTGACATACTTTAGAAATCAAGAAAATTATGATAATTTACACATCAATTATAGTGATTTAGTTGTAATAAGAACAGTCGGACTTATGTTGGCTCGAGTTTTGAGACGGAACATGGATTTCGGGTTCGGCGACTTTCTTTATCCGAATGTCGCTGGTTTGCGACAGTTCTTTGAAAGGGATCCTCATATAGGGTGTGTACTTTACAAAGTACTATTTCGCCTTAGTATTTCGCGTATATCTTTATCAATATCATTCAGTTCAAAAACTGTTTTTCTTCTATTTTAATGGAAAAAACCACCTCATATTAGGTTAGGAATATCAGATCAGTTGTTCTCCAATTATATGGAACATTGATTAAGTTAATTATAATGTATATTTCCGATAACTGATACGTACAATTATCAATCGAGACGTATTGACAAACAATATTATATTTTATGTATTGATGCTATATATAATATTTTATGTACTCATTTAATAATAAATGCAAACCTTACTTTAATTAGTCAGACAATAAGCGTGTTTTATCACCAAATTGTTTTACAGTCCATCATCGAGCTTCCACCAGATGGCACGGATGATGGACCGTATGATGACGGAGAGTCTGCAGCCGTTCGGATTCGCCCGGGTGACAGCGCGGCGTTCCAACAGCGATAAGGGACAGGATCCGCCGCGAGATGGTCTGCGCAGCGAAAAGGGAGCCGCAAAGAAGGACAGGAATAGACCAGACACGCATGTCAGCACTGGCACCCGTCATCCACCCACGCAAGGTATACTAAAAAAGCCTGTATTGCAAATGAATAAGGTTGAGATTTCTGTACAAGATTCCATCAAAATTATATTTCTATTTTTACATCTATGTACTCTCGTCTACTATAGGTATTCCCCATTTTTGTCGTATGGTAATTGTACGTTTTCAAGAACGTTACCTTCAATGTTCCGTATTAAAAATACTGCTAAGATTATTCAATTAGTTTAATGACATTGGGTCTGAAAATAACCCAACTAAAAGATTTGACCGCGTGTTGTCAAAACAATTGAGCGAGATGAACTGACATATTAATTTGTCTAGAAATTAGATATAAAGATTTATGATTCTTTATTACAGTAACTTACGAGATAAAAGGCATCCATTCAAATAAGTTTTAATCCAGTGTATCATACATTTCTATAAAGGCTAAACTGTAGCTATTTCGATGCTCCTTGTGTTTTTTACTTATGAAAATATCTAATTTCTCAAGCGATTTTGCATTTCCACATTTTTAGATGGAGTTATAAATGGATATTTTTTAGGTTAGTTTAAACACAAGTTAGTTTAGCTCATAAATAATTAAATGTACAGATTATAGTAATGTGAGCTAATTACTCATTGTTCAGTCGTCAGGCCGACTCAAGCGACTTCATTCCAAGAATCGCCATTAGACCAAGTGAAGCAGTCAGATCCTACGACTGAAAAGTGGGCGGGAACCCTTCGCAGACGAGACCCTGAGATACAGCCGACACTGCCCTCTATTGTTTCTCGGAAGACGTCCACCGCTTCCGCAGTAAGCAGCGGAAGGAAATGTCGATCAGTGGAAAGAATTCCAAGAGTAAAGAGGCAACTGGCTCCAATCAAACCGATTCGAAAGACCGATGGTACAACAGATGGAGATGTCACAATATTGGAGAGAGATGAGAAAGTCTTTGATACGAGTGGCTACGAATTACATCTAGTGGAGACTTTGGAAAGAGATATACTGCAGAAGAACCCAGATGTACGCTGGAGGGATGTTATTGGATTGGACGATGCGAAGGCGGTACTGCAAGAAGCAATGGTACTGCCTCTTGTAATGCCCGATTATTTTAAGGTTAGTTTTGTCAATGTAAAACCGTTAACCATAAAGACTAACCATTATGTCATATTATTTTGTAGAGCTTTTTTTTTGTAACAATGTCAACCGAGTACCGCGTCCGACGTAATGTTTCGCGTGACGGCTACGTATGCCATTTCTCATTACGGTTGTAGAGCCGTATGGTTATGGGCGATCAATATGGAAGTCAACATCAACATTAACCACTGACCAAGAGTCATTTGTAATGTTTTTGTGTAAAATCTTATTGCAATATTATGCAAAAATATCATAAGAATATTGGTGTTAGTCCCAAATTAATTTATAGAAATATATTTAACATTTCTAGGGCATCCGTCGTCCGTGGAAAGGCGTGCTACTGACGGGTCCGCCAGGCACTGGTAAGACGTTGTTAGCGCGCGCTGTGGCCACCGAGTGCCGCACCACATTCTTCAACGTCTCCTCCGCCACACTCACATCCAAGTACCGCGGTGACTCCGAGAAACTCGTACGACTGCTCTTCGATATGGTCAATATTGTTTTTTATTTATTAGTTTTTCTTAATTTCAAATCGATACATCTTGATATCGTCAATCTTACATTCTAACTTTAATTTTTTTCGAATAAGTAGAAAACGAGGAAGAGGTTTGCCTTTTGTCACTGATGTTACAACTCGGGATTAACAGAAAAGGGTTTTTAGTAAGATATGGGTAATTTGTTCCATATATTAAATATAAAAATGTAAATCTTTACTTCATTACCTTGCCTTCTGCGATGTCATAGCATCTAATTGAGTGGTACTTGTCTGGTACTGGAATAGTTATATTATTGTGTTGGCAGGCGTCCTTTTACGCGCCGAGCACGATCTTCATCGATGAAGTGGACTCGCTATGTGCGGTGCGTGGCGCCGACTCTGAGCATGAAGCCTCGCGCCGATTCAAGGCTGAGCTGCTCATACAGATGGATGGACTCGCCGCCATATTGTAAGATTTGTCATAGAGATGTAGAGTGGAAACTAAATTGTTGCAAATATGTACTCTAAAATCTGACGTGGTATGCCCATTGGTGCCTGACACAAGATAATGAACGTATAAATTTCCAGTAACCAAGACAAAGTGGTGATGGTGCTGGCAGCAACTAACCACCCGTGGGACATTGACGAGGCCTTCAGGAGACGCTTTGAGAAGAGAATATACGTCGGCCTTCCTGATGGTAATAGTTTCGTTTGAATTCAAACGAATAGAAAACATCCTCAATGTTCGTTTGAATTCAATGTTTGTCGTATTTATTATCTATATCTTAACAAGTTTTAGGACATAATATTGCCTCGTCTCCCTCGACACCCTCGTGGGCCATAGCAGTATTAATTTCATTTTATCTACGTCCACGTTGAGTCCAAGAGAGTGATATTCGCCACTAACATCGTTGTTAATGAGTAATGTCGTTGTGAATTTGTTTTATTACAGAAGTAACTAGAACGAAGCTCCTCAAGCTTTGCCTCCGCGAGGTGTCGCTTACAGAGGACGTGGAATTCCAAGAGCTGTCGGAAAAACTCGACGGTTACAGCGGCTCCGACATCTGTAACATATGCCGGTAAAAACACTATACATAAATGTATAATATTTTTACAGCTCCAGTCGATTTTGATATTAATTTTGTTTGTTGCCACAGAGACGCAGCCATGATGACAATGCGCCGAAAAATTGCGGGAAAAAGTCCCGATCAAATACGTCGATTGAAACAATCTGAACTTGAGGCGCCCGTGTCCAAGAACGATCTGAATGCCGCCATAGAGAAGACTCGGCGCACCGTCAGCTCGACAGATGTCGCGCGCTACGTCTCTTGGATCCAGCGCCACGGTTGTTCTTAGCGCAGAAATAAAGCGCTTCGAGCGCTGCTCAGGAGACTGAGAAATTGCTAGAGCTCTCTGTGACAGCTAGCAAGCGCTTTAAGTCGCTAGAGATGCTGAATTATATGGACATGTCATTTCGCTTGAAATTTTTATATTAACCTCTTGTTTATGGTGAATAAATATAATTGAAAGTGATAATATATTGGGACTAATTATGAAAATTAATACTTACTATTGAAGTGAAAAGATGTGATTATTATTTAGGTGACGGATAATATAAATTATTAATTTTTGATAAGTTTTATGTATTTGCTTTCTTAATAATCATTTTATATTATATACTATATAATATAATTATGAAATTGATGGTATATTTTTGGTTATTATTATTTAAATTTTTCAGATCACATAAGCTTTGTGATATGAATTTGTATATTATTACAAAACTTAAAACCTTTTAACTGTAAAGGAATTTATTCAACTTTTTGCTGTCTATAAAATTATTGTACATACATGCTTTTAGAAATAGTAATTCAGTGCAATAATCACGTTTATTATATCTTCCTTTGTAGTAATATGTCGTGGGTTAGATCAGCTTCTGACAGCAATTTAAATTGTAAGCAAATTTAAATCTCTACAAATTTTATGTTTATGGCCTTAAAGTTTGGTGTTTTTTGAATGTAATTTTTTATAAAGTTAACCCGCGTCATGTTATAAATGTAGCGATGTGTTTAGGCTTACGATATTTCTAATTAAATTCATATAAATTAAGGATTATGAGTTAATTTTAACATAAATTTTAAAGTTGTATTTTTGTAAGTTCCATATGTTATAGTAAAGAACTTTTATTTTGCTTTAAAACTTAAAATATAAATTAACAACGCAATTTGTTACTATAGAGCTTCAAGCACAACTGCTAGAAAAGGGAACCAAAAGCGAAAGGAACCTAATTTGATATTAACTCGGTTGTCATTTAGTTACTAGGCTTATGACGCGCAACCAAATCGAATGCAAACTTTGTTTTTTTTTTTGTTTTATTAGCACACTTCAAAAAGAAGGAGGTTATCAATTGGTCTGGATGTTTTTTTTTTCTTTTTTAATGTCCTGTTCGCTTTCGTGGCTGTGTGGTGCAGGCCTAATAATTATCGTTTTTCCTCGACGGTTTAGAACTATGCTTTGAATTTATAATTATTGATTCCAGTTACGTTATATTAAATCAATAATTAACAAAGAGGTTTAATTGTAAAACTTTTTTATGTTGGCAATAAGCGAAATCATAAGTACGAAATTAAACGATTGTATTTGGATAACATTCGTTTATTAAGGAATGGTGTAAATTACGTTGTTATAAAAGAATATGTTTGTGTGTTTTATACTGTTGGAACACATGTCAAAAACATTTATCTCAGTTTTATAGAGTGAGAGAGATGTAAATATGTTTTAGTACATATTGTCAGCGGTGGAAATCCACTTATATGTTCCGTGTAAATTTGTATTGTGAACAAGGACAATTTTAATAAAAGAAGTATTTAAGTCACTTGAATATTTTTTTTTAAACAAGCCTGTTTAAAAACAAATTGATCCAGTTTAACATTCACGAAATATATCTGACCTTGTGGGCATATGTCAGATTATGATAGCTCACTAGCGCCACCCTGCCAATGTCAAACAATTGTCAAGTTCCTTTTCGTAGTAGAGCGTTGTCATTATCTATGGTTTAGGGTTGACGTATTTTCTGACAGAACTGAACGCGATCGCAGCGCCTCTCATCGAGCCGGATTGTTTGGTAATTACTTTGGGTTTTAAAGAAGTCGCCGGCAACGGCTAGTTTAAAAATAAAATTACTGGCCCAATTAATAAGTTATTTTACTTATAAGAATATAGAATTAAACAACGCATAGCTATCCATTTTTATATCAAAACATTCCATTTTATATGAAAGAAAAGATTAATAGATCTTAACTCTAAATAAACTTTATTAAAATATGAATAAAATTAAATATAAACAAAAAAAAGCATAAAACTTTTAACATCTGTTATTAGAATAACCATTCATATATGCTGACAACACATAAATCACGAAATAACTGAAAAAAACATGTCTGTCTCAGTTTTATCAAAGAGAGTGAGTGGGATAACAATGTTTCGTTGGTTGAAAAATCGCAGTGAAAATGATGCTTATATAAATATAACTAACAAGGGTAGAACAAGCAAGCGTAGTTGTAAACCGCAGTTTAAATTTACAAAACATAGATTGATAAATATATTTAAAAATGAAATTGGTCCCCGTGTTAGGACTCAAATTTTCTTATGTATACGTAAAAATGTTCATGTATTTTAAAAAGTTAATAGAATTATTCTATAAAAGGCACTACAATGTTATTTTCAAATATTTAATGTGCATTTAAAAGTCAAATAGACAAACCATTAAATCTTTGGTTTAAATAATAATTAAAAAATATAATCTTAACTCTAGTTTACTTATATCTATTACACACTTTGTGATACTTATAACTAGAATATTTTGTATCTCTTTTTCATGTTGGGTACAGGAAAGAGATAGATATAGTGTCAAGAGAATAACATTTAATAAATTAAGTATTAACTCACGATGTTTTACTGTTCAAAAATTAACACATATTTTGGTATGAATTTATCGAGAAAGTGTTTTTATGCAAATGTTTCCATCTTATTTAAAAAAAAAGTATTAAAAAAAAACAGTAAATTATAAAATATGAAAAGAATTGTTTATAAAGTTTTCAAACAACTTAAAATTGTTGACAAAGACTCAATTAATGGGTTTAAAAGTTAATATTCGATGATAATAATCGACTTTTTCTCTAATTTAAACGTCATTTCTTTGTTAAAGTCTTTTACAAAGATATAAAATAATACTAAAATTAGTCTATTCTAATTATATATTATAATTTATAGTCTTTGTACTAAACATAGTCCATTTATATGTCAACTCGTTGTATAGAATAGCGTTGGTCTTTGCTCTTTCATTCCTGCGCGGCACCATTCTTCTGTACCACTAGATCGTCGTCCTCACGTTCCAGTATTGCCGCAAAGGAAAATGGAACGAATGCGTATCCTTGACCTTCATAGAATTTACTCATAAACTCCACCCTGAAATAGAGTTCATTTTTGTTTACATTTAGTCTTATTTTATTTTTATTGCCTAAAGTCTGTGGTGGGTTGGTAATTTAAAATAAAGCTTATTTTGACGCAATACATGTAATTTTTGTTTAATTGCTAGATGCACATTTACTCCACTTATTCTGAGGCTTGTCTCCAACTTTTTGACATAAGTTCATGTAACTTTAAATCTTATTCGTATCCACGCAAAAAATTTACGTGCATTATTTATATAGCTTACCAGTGAAGTCTGAGCGTGTGCAGGAAAGCAGACAGGCCCTCCATCAGCACCAGAATGGCGAGAGTGAAGAATGCCCACACCGCGAATATTACGTACAGCAGAATTGCGTTGATAGGCGACCCGCCGCCCAGGCCTATGCGTAATACTCGCTGCCACAACACCGCAGATAACTCTGCAAGATATAACAATAAGCATTTAACAAACAAAAAAACTGGGATTTGACAAAAAAATACGAATCAATTGATACCTGACACTAATAAAATAGGTAAATTAGTTCATACTAAACACTGATGCTCTAAGAGACTGCAATGAGACTGTTTTACTCAGTCTTTTAATGACCACATTTGTAGTAGATTTCTCTTAATAATTTAGTCACAAAATCACAGCGTACAGTGCAGCACTTGTATTATAAAAAATTTCCACATACGTGCGTGAGCTAACGATAACGCCCAGAGACGGAGGTAGGATGCTGTGTGGGAGACTGTACCAAGCACATACTCTATGGTGTGTATGGCTTGTGTTATTAGCACCTCTCCCATGCCGCCGTCATGTGGGTCCTTTTCCACCACATCACCGCTTTCTACGCCTTGTTGGTATTGCTGTAGAGGGTACAAAAATGACATAGTTATAATAAGCAAGTACAAAACAGAACTAGAAATCTGTTTATTAGATTAATGAGAGTTCACTTCGTTTGTGAAATATCACGAGTTACCAATTTTAACAACATTTACGTGGAAACGTAAAGGGCGAAAGCGAAACCCCATGTTTTTGGCTATTAAGTGAATAACAAAAGTTTAAATCAAGAATAGGACAACTAGAAACTGAAGCAAATGAAAAATCGTTATGAAAAGATCTTCACCTTTTTCTTTTTATCCGCTATCATTTGGTAGACTGGTTTCCCAAACAGCATGATTGGCACGCAGAGGAAAGCTACGGCTAGGAAGGTCTTCTGCAGTGGTTCCTGGCCGGCATACATGTTCTGTGGGCACGGCGGCCGCGAATCTGACTTCTTCATCAGCATCATATTGATGAAGATGATTAGAACTGACGGTGCGCAGTACGTGCCGTATGCAGGGTCTGATAATACCAAATTACCAATAAATAATTGTGTCAGGACGATACATAGTCATGTCACTTGTCAGCTTTACCGAAACAATGGAAGACAATTGAAGCTCTTAAAGTTCAAGTCATCTTTCCAAATAGATTACCTCATTTAGATATAAACCAAAATACTTAGTTCATTTTGAAGCGATATTTATTTCATTTATATTATTATTCATCTTACTTAATTCAACTTACCAGGTGACACGGCTGAGTACATCGTCCACTTCATAAACATAAGAATACATAAATACCAAAACAATAACAACAGAAATAATATCTGTGGGATGTATTGTAAGTAGATCATGTAGTTTTTCTTGAAGAAGCTGAAATAAAATAAACCTTATAGCGAACAAGTTAAGAGCTAATATAGAATTGACAAAACTACGTGCTCTAGTTTCTATGAATATAGTAATTACTTGAAGTTTACCACACTCATTGTCACACCGAACGCCATATGGATTACGCCGAATATTATGGATAGCTTCATCTTGAACGAATTGAGGAAGATTATATTGTTTGCAGCGAACTGAAAGAAATCAAGAACAATAAAAATAGGTTACAGGTTGACACTGATATTAGGTTTCTTGACGAAATCGAAATAATTTATTAAGAACAGCACCATAAAATTGTGGAAGTGCCTCGTACTAGTTGTCAAGTTACCTGCCAAGCGGGATCCAATCCAAAAGGATATGGTGTTTGCGTATAGGCAATAGCAGGGTCCAATTCGAGCATTCTGTGACGCACCAAGGTTTCGTTATCGTAAGTGTTCCTCCAACTGCTTCCAAATATGTTGAGAGACTTGGAGAACATATCGTTATATATCAAACCAGTGTA